GGATCCCCGGCGCGCTCAGAGCGGCCGCTGCCTGCGGGGATGGGCTTCGTAGGCGCTGGTGGCGGGCCGCCGTGGGCTCAGTTTGCTCCGCCGTGTCCTCTTCCTGCTCCGCGCGATCTCGCCGTGTCATCTCACCGTGCCCGCACGTCTGCGTTTCCTCCGCCGATGAAGAAAGTTCCCATGGCGACCCTGGCCCGCCTATGAAGAAACCTCCCTCTCCCTCTCGCACCTTCATCATCTCCTTGGAAAGCTCTTGCATCGTGCCAGCCACCTGAGGAACTTTGATGAGCCCACTGACGAGCTTCACATGCTTCTAGAGCTGCTGAAATGCCACTGTAAAGGCTCTTCCCTCCTCCCTCTCCCCTCTCCCCACCCAGTTCCCCCACGCTCGCACCTTCATCATTTCTTTGGATAATTCTTGCATTGTGCCAGCCACCTGGGGCACTTTGATGAGCCCACTGACGAGTTTCATCACCTCTGTACTCTTCGCCATGTGCCCCGCCACCTTCGCCATGGCTGGGAGGGGTGGGGCGGGATTGAGAGGTGGGAGGGATTGGACAGGGGGAGCCAGGGAGAAGGAGGAGTTGGGGGAGGGGGGTGGTTCAACACAGAAGCACATGAGCCACCTGAGGCACTTTGATGAGCCCGCTGACGAGTTTCATCACCTCTGTGCTCTTCGCCATGTGCCCCGCCACCTTCGCCATGGCTGGAGGGGTTGGGAGGCATTGGGAGAGATTGGACCGATTGAGTCAGGAAGGGGGGGAAGTTGGGAAGGGGAGGGGTCAACACAGAAGCACCAGCCACCTGCGGCACTTTGATGAGCCCGCTGATGAGTTTCATCACCTCCGTGCTCTTCGCCATGTGCCCCGCCACCTTCGCCATGGCTGGGGGGGAGTGGAGAGGGATTGGGAGGGATTGGAAGGGATTGGACAGGGGGAGCCAGGGAGAAGGAGGAGTTGGGGGAGGGGGGTGGTTCAACACAGAAGCACCAACCACCTGTGGCACTTTGACGAGTTTCATCACCTCTGCGCTCTTCGCCATGTGCCCTGCCACCTTCGCCATCACTGGTGGGAGGGGTTGAAAGGGGAGGAAGGGATCGGGAGGGGGTGAATAGGGGCAGATGGGGAGAAGAGGGAGTTGGGGAGGGGAGGAGCAAAAGGAGGGCGGGTGTTGGTCAACACAGAAGCACCAGCCACCTGCGGCACTTTGATGAGCCCGCTGACGAGTTTCATCACCTCTGTGCTCTTTGCCATGTGCCCTGCCACCTTTGCCATGGCTGGAGGGGTTGGGAGGGGTTGGGAGGGAGTGGAGAGGGAATGGGAGGGGTTGGAAGGAGTTGCAAGGGGGGAGTTGGGGAAGGGATCAGCATGTGAGCACAGGGCTCAGGGCTCCCATCCCACTCAGCCCGTTGATGAGCTTCATCACCTCTGTGCTCTTCGCCATGTGCCCTGCCACCTTCGCCATGGCTGGAGGGGTTGGGAGGGAGAGGGACCAGAAGGAAGAAAAAGGGGAGTCGGATTGAGGGTCAGCAAACAAGCACACGGCACAGGACACAGGGAAGCTTTCAACCCGTTGATCAGCTTCATCACCTCTGCGCTCTTCGCCATGTGCCCCGCCACCTTCGCCATGGCTGGTGGGGGTGGGAGGGGAGGAATGGCATGACGAGAAAAAGAGCAGCGTATGTGACGGGTTGTGCTCGTGCTCGCAACAATGGCAAAACCCCCACCCATCCCATCATGCCCCCCATCCCCCCACCCTCCCCGCACCCCCCCCCCCCCCCCCCAGCTCCTCTCCTCTCCGCTCACCAATGTTCTCCCCCACGTGCAGCGAGATCAAGTTCCTCTGAGCCTTGTGCTCGTGCTGCCCCTGTAATCCACTGTTCTCTTCCATTCATCCCCTCCCCGCACCCCCCCCCCCCCCCCCCAGCTCCTCCCCGCTCACCAATGTTCTCCCCCACGTGCAGCGAGACGACGTTCCTCTGAGTCTTGTGCTCGTGCTGACTTTTGAGTCGACTCAACAGTCAGTCTTGTGCTCGTGCTGACTTTTGAGTCGACTCAACAGTCAGTCTTGTGCTCGTGCTGACTTTTGAGTCGACTCAACAGTCAGTCTTGTGCTCGTGCTGACTTTTGAGTCGACTCAACAGTCAGTCTTGTGCTCGTGCTGACTTTTGAGTCGACTCAACAGTCAGTCTTGTGCTCGTGCTGACTTTTGAGTCGACTCAACAGTCAGTCTTGTGCTCGTGCTGACTTTTGAGTCGACTCAACAGTCAGTCTTGTGCTCGTGCTGACTTTTGAGTCGACTCAACAGTCAGTCTTGTGCTCGTGCTGACTTTTGAGTCGACTCAACAGTCAGTCTTGTGCTCGTGCTGACTTTTGAGTCGACTCAACAGTCAGTCTTGTGCTCGTGCTGACTTTTGAGTCGACTCAACAGTCAGTCTTGTGCTCGTGCTGACTTTTGAGTCGACTCAACAGTCAGTCTTGTGCTCGTGCTGACTTTTGAGTCGACTCAAAAGTCAGCCTTGTGCTGGTGCTCACAACCCTCATATTCTCTCTCCAACCGTTACACCTGTGTACCACTCAACAGTCAGTCTTGTGCTCGTGCTGACTTTTGAGTCGACTCAACAGTCAGTCTTGTGCTGGTGCTCACAACCCTCATATTCTCTCTCCAACCGTTACACCTGTGTACCACTCAACAGTCAGTCTTGTGCTCGTGCTGACTTTTGAGTCGACTCAACAGTCAGTCTTGTGCTGGTGCTCACAACCCTCATATTCTCTCTCCAACCGTTACACCTGTGTACCACTCAACAGTCAGTCTTGTGCTCGTGCTGACTTTTGAGTCGACTCAAAAGTCAGCCTTGTGCTGGTGCTCACAACCCTCATATTCTCTCTCCAACCGTTACACCTGTGTACCACTCAACAGTCAGTCTTGTGCTCGTGCTGACTTTTGAGTCGACTCAACAGTCAGTCTTGTGCTGGTGCTCACAACCCTCATATTCTCTCTCCAACCGTTACACCTGTGTACCACTCAACAGTCAGTCTTGTGCTCGTGCTGACTTTTGAGTCGACTCAAAAGTCAGCCTTGTGCTGGTGCTCACAACCCTCATATTCTCTCTCCAACCGTTACACCTGTGTACCACTCAACAGTCAGTCTTGTGCTCGTGCTGACTTTTGAGTCGACTCAACAGTCAGTCTTGTGCTGGTGCTCACAACCCTCATATTCTCTCTCCAACCGTTACACCTGTGTACCACTCAACAGTCAGTCTTGTGCTCGTGCTGACTTTTGAGTCGACTCAACAGTCAGTCTTGTGCTGGTGCTCACAACCCTCATATTCTCTCTCCAACCGTTACACCCGTGTACCACTCAACAGTCAGTCTTGTGCTCGTGCTGACTTTTGAGTCGACTCAACAGTCAGTCTTGTGCTGGTGCTCACAACCCTCATATTCTCTCTCCAACCATTACACCTGTGTATCACTCAACAGTCAGTCTTGTGCTCGTGCTGACTTTTGAGTCGACTCAAAAGTCAGCCTTGTGCTGGTGCTCACAACCCTCATATTCTCTCTCCAACCGTTACACCTGTGTACCACTCAACAGTCAGTCTTGTGCTCGTGCTGACTTTTGAGTCGACTCAACAGTCAGTCTTGTGCTGGTGCTCACAACCCTCATATTCTCTCTCCAACCGTTACACCTGTGTACCACTCAACAGTCAGTCTTGTGCTCGTGCTGACTTTTGAGTCGACTCAACAGTCAGTCTTGTGCTGGTGCTCACAACCCTCATATTCTCTCTCCAACCGTTACACCTGTGTACCACTCAACAGTCAGTCTTGTGCTCGTGCTGACTTTTGAGTCGACTCAACAGTCAGTCTTGTGCTCGTGCTGACTTTTGAGTCGACTCAACAGTCAGTCTTGTGCTCGTGCTGACTTTTGAGTCGACTCAACAGTCAGCCTTGTGCTCGTGCTCACAACCCTCACCAGCCCATTCATTCTCCCTCACACCCTCACAATATGCCCAAACCCCACCACCCCTCCCCAGTTTCTCCCCCTCTTCCTCCTCTCACCAATATTTTCCCCCAGGTGAAGCGAGATGGAGTTCCTCTGAGCCTTGTGCTCGTGCTCATACCCCCATATTCTCGCTCCAACCGTCACACCTGTCTATCGCTCCCAAACTCACCAACCTTCTCCCCCAGGTGCAGCGAAATCGAGTTCACCTGCACCTTCTGCTCGTGCTCACATCCCTCCTACTACCCCCACATTCATTCCCCCTGCCAACTCCCTCCTCTTGCACCCCCCTTCTCACCAACCTCCTCCCCCCCCCCCCTTCGTGCTCACCAACCTTCTCCCCCAGGTGCAGCGAAAGGGAGTTCACCTGCACCTTCTGCTCGTGCTCGCAACAACGACAAACCCCCTGCCCACTCCCTCCCCCTCCCCCTCACACTCACCATTGTTCTCCCCCAGGTGAAGCGAAATGGAGTTCATTTGAGCCTTCTGCTCGTGCTGCTCACAACCTATCTCTCCAACCGTCACTCAAGAATAGGCTCACCAATGTTCTCCCCCAGGTGAAGCGAGATGGAATTCATCTGGGCCTTGTGCTCGTGACAACAACCCCCCCCTTCTTCCCCCCCATCTCACCAATGTTCTCCCCCAGGTGAAGCGAGATGGAATTCATCTGGGCCTTCGGCTCGTGCTGCTCACAACCCCCTGTTCGTTCCCTCTCCACCACTCTCTCTGCAACCTTAACAGATGCCCGGAGCCCCTTTCGCTCTCACCAATGTTCTCCCCCAGGTGAAGCGAGATGGAGTTCATTTGAGCCTTGTGCTCGTGCTCACACCTCCCCTTATCACCCAAGACACATTCTCTCTCCAACCCTCTCTCTCCAATCCCTACACAGACGCCCAACCCCACCCCCGGCTCACCAATGTTCTCCCCCAGGTGAAGCGAGATGGAGTTCATCTGGGCTTTCTGCTCGTGCTCATACCCCCAACACCTGTTCCCTCCCTTCCACCTCACCCCGTCCCTCTCCACTCACCAATGTTCTCCCCCAGGTGAAGCGAGATGGAGTTCATCTGGGCCTTCTGCTCGTGCATGCGGCTGATGGCCTTCCTTGATCGCACCAGCTCCTTGGCTAGATGCTGGGGGAGGAGGGGAAGGAATAGAGGAAGGGAGAGAGGGTTGAGAAGAGGGGGGTTTACATGAGTCACGTGCATGCGGCTAATGGCCTTGCGTGATCTCACCAGCTCCTTGGCTAGATGCTGCAGGCACAGGGGGTAACGAAGGGGGGGGGGAGTGGAGAGTTCATCTGTGCCTTGTGCTCGTGCATGCGGCCGATGGCTCTCCGCCATCGCACCAGCTCCTTGGCTAGATGCTGGGGGGTTGGAGATGTGAGGGGGGGAAGGGGCGAAAGGGAGAGCCAACAAGGAAGAGGAGAGGGAGTTCGTCTGTGCCTTCTGCTCGTGCATGTGACTGATGGCTCTCCGCCATCGCACCAGCTCCTTGGCTAGATGCTGCATTGATGGTACACGAACAGCAGGGGGGAGGGAGGAAACACGGGAGATGATGCTAGATCGTGCTCATGCTTCTGCTCGTGCATGTGACTGATGGCTCTCCGCCATCGCACCAGCTCCTTGGCTAAATGCTGCATTGATGGTACACGAACAGCAGGGGGGAGGGAGGAAACACGGGAGATGATGCTAGATCGTGCTCATGCTTCTGCTCGTGCATGTGACTGATGGCTCTCCGCCATCGCACCAGCTCCTTGGCTAGATGCTGGGGGATTGGAGATGTGAGGGGGGGAAGGGGCGAAAGGGAGAGCCAACAAGGAAGAGGAGAGGGAGTTCGTCTGTGCCTTCTGCTCGTGCATGCGACCGATGGCTCTCCGCCATCGCACCAGCTCCTTGGCTAGATGCTGGGGGATGGGAAGTGCGTGACGAGGGCGGGTGGGATGGGGAAAGGGGGGGGAGGGTTGTGGAGGGTTGGCATCAGCCATGTGCGTTTGCCTAAACGCCTTGCTAGATGATGGGATGGGAGATAAGAGACGTGGGAGATCGGAGGTGGGGTGGGTGTGGGGGGGGGTGTTGGTTATGAAAGGATTACATGAGCCATGTGAGTTAAAGTGATGGAATTGCGCGATCCCACTAGCTCCTTGGCTAGACGCCACGCCACACCACACCACACCACACCACACCACACCACACCACACTACACCGCACTGCACTGCACCACACCACATTGCACTCATCCTGCGCACCTTGGCTGATCCCAAATCGCCCCTCTTGGACGCCTCCTTGATTCCCCTCTTTCACATTCACCTCGCTCCACCACCCCACTCACCAACACATCCCACCCAAACCCATTCCATCCCACTCCACCCCATTCTATCCCATCCCATCCCATCCCACCACACCGCACCTCGCCCATCCCACACACCTTGGCTGAACCCAGATCGCCCCTCTTGGCCGCCTCCTTGATTGCCTTCTTTGCATTCACCTCGCTCCACCACACCACTCCGACCCTCCCCACCCCACCCCACCCCACCCCATCCCATCCCATCCCGTCCCATCCCACCACATCACACCACACCGCACCACGCCCATCCCACACACCTTGGCTGAACCCAGATCGCCCCTCTTAGCCGCCTCCTTGATTGCCTTCTTCGCATTCATCTCCTCTCGCTGGATCTCTGCGGAAAAAGGAGGAAGAATAGAGGAGGACAGGGGGAGGAGGAATGAAGGAGGAGGGAGGAGGCATGGAAGGGAAGTCGGAGAAGGGAGGACGGAGGGAAGACGGAGAGAGGAGGGAGGGAGGACGGAGAGAGGACGGAGAGAGGACGGAGAGAGGACGGAGAGAGGACGGAGAGAGGACGGAGAGAGGACGGAGAGAGGACGGAGAGAGGACGGAGAGAGGACGGAGAGAGGACGGAGGGAAGAGGGATGAAGGAGACAAATCGGTAAGATACAGCGATGACATGGTGGATGGAAAATACTTGATTTTCTATTTGATTGAATCTTCAATAATTTTGTATTTTCACCGCCCCCTGATTTCCTTCTTCAGATTCACCACCTTAACCTCCTTGATGAAATGATGGCGTGTGCCAATACCTCTGATAATAACCATGGCGTGTATTAAGCCTATTTTTGAGTCGACTCAAAAATTGATGAAATGATGGTGTGTGCCAATACCTCTGATAATAACCATGGCGTGTATTATTTGAAGAAAAGTTTCACAGAAACAAACATCAAATGCTCCGCGTATTGCTTTTGGCGTCTCAAAGACAGCTCTCCAGAAACATACCATCTACGTGACACCACCCAATCCCATCCCACTCGATTCCATCCCACTCCACCCCACCCCACACAGCTCCACCCTAGCACATCCCATCCCATCCCATCAAATCTCAACGAACCTCAAATGTTCCGCTCTGTGTTGCGCTGCTCCTGCCGCAGCTTGCGCTGCTACTCCCCCTACCATCTATCCCATCAAATCCCATCAAATCCCATCAAATCCCATCCCAACCCATCCCAACCCATCCCAACCCATCCCACCTCGGATGTTCCGCTCGATGTTGCGCTGCTCCTGCCGTAGCTTGCGCTGCCACTCCCGCAGCTGCTGCTGCGGAGTCAGCTTCGGACCGAACATGTTCTTCAGCATCGTGCTGACGTGGAAGCTGACGGGGCTAGCGCTGGCTCGGTGGATGAGCTCCCACACTCAACAAGTGACTCTCGACTCGTTACAATCACCACTCGGTGGAACTGTTCCTACAATTCGCACTCTTGCAACCTAAAGAAGACAATCGCGGCTCCAGAATCAGTCTCCAGAGTTTGCTAACTGAGACTCAGTTGATGCTAACAGGCTGACACACTGAGCACAACTGAGAAAAGGAGGGATAGCACGTGACGCCAAAGGGTCGTTCCCTGATTTCGCGCGCTCTGGAAGCAAGAGAGCGGATTCGCGAAGAAAGTAGCTCGAATTCACGGAAGAAAATCGCTCGAATTCGCGAGCAGGAATCTGATCAGTTGGAGCTCGGAACAACAACCGTACTATAATAACAGTGGCTGCAAGAATGACTACGGTAAAACGGATACACAAATCTGCTCGAGAATGACATAGGCTTGAGCTGAGCAGCCACGAAAGGAAATTCATCAGGACCACAAGTGCTGATGGAATGCGCGTTCAATTCAGGCCAATCTGTCCACGTGGCTGTCGAACGTTTCTTCACAGAAACTCGCAGAGGCTCTGACTGTTTCTTCAGGGGTCATCCCAACCACTCGAAATCTGCAGTGAAAATTGCTACGAGGTTATTTGAATACGGTTTCGTGGATCAGTTCGGGTGTGAAGGGAGCGGGCTAGCAGATCCCCGTTACAGAGAAACGCGTGTACAACGTCGATATATTTTTGCAATGGAATTTCACCCACTGTATGGGTCAAAGTTAAGACAGGCGAGTAAAAGAGCGGTTTAGAGCGGCTGACAAATCGTACCCCTTCAAAACGCATAACACCGAGCAGAAAGCGATACCTTTTTGGCACTTCCTTCTGGGGAGGGACAAATCCAAAATGGATTTGGAATTTCGGCAATTTCTGGAATCCAGAGCCCTAACATTGACAGATAACCGCACTAAACCCACGGTTATTCAATCTGTCTTTTGCGTTACCGTTTCGAATCCCTTTGAAAGCAGTGAATGAGGGTGATGAAACCCCCCATAGCGCTTAGCTTCACGGTTGTGAAGTGAAGCTCGCCTCGCCACTCACACCCACTTGGTCAGACGGATTCCGTCAGTACTGTGTGCGAGCAGCAGTCCTTAGTCCGACGGATTCCCTCGGCATTTCGCGTCCGTCGTCATCTTTTCCGGTTAGCCGTCATCAACGGGCCCATGGAGTCCATGGTCGTCAACCGCGGTCCCACGACAGCATCTAAGCAGCTGCCGCCTTGTCACACACTTGGACCCGCATTTACTACTACGCGCGTCGCCAGTAATCATATTGCTCGTATTTGTCATTCTATCAGCCCTATTACTGCTCCTGTGAGCTGCATTGGTTACGAAAGATTGGCGAATTTGGTAACAGATTCTAAGAGACGGTTACAATTTCAGAGAAGCGGCCGAACTCGGTATACTGCCTCTGCGACGGGTGGTACAAATTCCTCTTTTAACCCGGATGACGCAGAGGCGATTAAGGCCAGGCTCCGCGCCGCGATTGCTAAGTCGGAGCGCGGAGTGGTAACAGACGAGGCGATTACTCGCGAGATTCTGGCAGCAATTGAATCGCTAGAGAAGCTAGGAGGAGGGGGAAGAGCGGACGAGGGGAAGGAAGCTCCTGTGACAACGTCTGCCGAATCGTTGAGCGCCAAGTGGAAGCTTCTATGGACGACTGAGAAGGAGACGCTTTTCATTTTCAAGCAGGCTTCCTTTTTCGGTTCCTACAGCTGGAGACACATTTCAAGTAAGCAGCTTCATTTACCAGGCCATTCGAACCGTAGACATGCCACGGGGCACATTGAGCAGCACCATCACCTTCCCCCCCTGTGCCCCTTCCCTTCCTCTCCCACTCACCCTCTCCCTTACACCCTCCACCCATGTAGATCGTAGACGTGGCGAAGGTCACTCTAAGCAACACCATCACCTTCGCCCTTCCCTAACCCCCTTTTTCAATTCCTCGGTCACCCTTTCCTGTACCACCCCCCCCCCCCCCCCTTCCCCCTGCCATTCACAGACCATAGACGTGGCGAAGGGCACTCTGAGCAACACCATCACCTTTCCCCCCTCGGCCATGATTGACGTCCCTGCCTCCATCCAATTCGCCTCCTCTCTCCCCTCTCGACACCCTCCCTTTCTTGAACCGCCATCCCATGCCATTTGCAGACCATAGACGTGGCGAAGGGCACTCTAGGCAACACCATCACCTTCCCCCCCTCGGGCATGTTTGACGTCTCTGCCTCCATCCAAGTAGCATCCCTCTCTCCCTCACCCCCTTCTTCCCTTCCTCTGGAACCCCCATGCCCTGCAGACCATAGACGGGGCAAAGGGCACTCTGAGCAACACCATATGTTCTCTCCCGTACCCTTTCCTTCACACCCCCATGCCATATGCAGACCATAGACGTGACGAAGGGCACTCTGAGCAACACCATCACCTTCCCTCCCTTACCCCCTCCTTTACTCCCTCGCTTACCCCTTCCCGCCTCTCCCTCCTCGGCCCCCCCCTGCCATTTGCAGACCATAGACGTGGCGAAGGGCACTCTCAGCAACACCATCACCTTCCCCCCCTCGGGCATGTTTGACGTCTCTGCTTCCATTCAAATCGCCTCCGCACAACGAGTCACCTTCCAGTCAGTACCATCCCCCTCCCCCAAACACACACACCACCACCTGGCAATCCCCCCTTCTCCCCCCCCCCCTCGGGCATGTTTGACGTCTCTGCCTCCATCCAAGTCGCCTCCCCTCAGCGAGTCACCTTCCAGTCAGTATTATCCCCCTCCCACCCCGCCCCCTCCCCAAAAAACACACACCACCTCCTGACAATCCCCCCTTCTCCCCCCTTCGGGCATGTTTGACGTTTCTGCTTCCACTCAAGTCGCCTCCTCCTCCCAACGCGTCACCTTCCAGTCAGTATTGCCCCTTCTCACACACCACCTGCCAACCCCCACCTTCCGTCTAGTTCCATGTCTCTGCCCCTTCCATTCAAATGGCCTCCGCCCAGCATGACGTTCCCCTCAGTATCCTTCCCTCTCCCCCGTGCTTGTCAGTATTGCCCCTTCTCACACACACCTGCCAACCCCCACCTTCCGTCTAGTTCCAAGTCTCTGCCCCTTCCATTCAAATGGCCTCCGCCCAGCATGACGTTCCCCTCAGTATCCTTCCCTCTCCCCCGTGCTTGTCGCATGCACCTTTAGGGCTGCTACGCCATGCCTTTGCTTGCCATAGTTACATGCATCAAGCTTTTCGTTTCCCCTTCCCCACACCAGGTTCACAGGTGCTCGTCTAGTCACTGCTTCATGGACCCTTCCGTCCCAACTCCCTCCCTTTTGACTCGACTCAAAAGTCGCCGCCTACCTCCCCTCTTGCTCACAGGTGCTCGGCTAGTCACTGCTTCGGACGTGGACGCTGCCTGTCCCACCCTTTGAGGCGACTCAAAACTCGCTAATTGCCTCCCATTCCCCCTCATCAGGTTCACAGGTGCTCGACTGGTCATGGCTTCATGGACACTGCCTTTCCCACCTTTTTGAGGCGACTCAGAAGTCGCTTCTCACTTCCCCTCCCCACATCAGGTTCACAGGTTCTCGACTGGTCATGGCTTCATGGATCATACCTGTCCCAACCTTTTGAGGCGACTCAAAAGTCACATCTCGCTTCCCCTTCCCCACATCAGGTTCACAGGTTCTCGACTGGTCATGGCTTCATGGACACTGCCTTTCCCACCTTTTGGAGGCGACTCAGAAGTCGCTTCTCACTTCCCCTCCCCACATCAGGTTCACAGGTTCTCGACTGGTCATGGCTTCATGGATCATACCTGTCCCAACCTTTTGAGGCGACTCAAAAGTCACATCTCGCTTCCCCTTCCCCACATCAGGTTCACAGGTTCTCGACTGGTCATGGCTTCATGGACACTGCCTTTCCCACCTTTTGGAGGCGACTCAGAAGTCGCTTCTCACTTCCCCTCCCCACATCAGGTTCACAGGTTCTCGACTGGTCATGGCTTCATGGACACTGCCTTTCCCATCCTTCGAGGCAACTCAGAACGCGCTTCTTGCCTCCCATTCCCCCACGTCAGGTTCACAGGTGCTCGTCTAGTCACGGCCTCGTGGACCATACCTGTTCCTCCCTTCGGTCAAGGATGGTGAATAGGAGTATGATAATGCTGCTTTAGACGCTCAAGGGACTTCAAAGGAGATTCAAAATGAACCTGCCATGGCACATCCAACTTCTTCCCCGGTCGCTGCTTCGTGTCAAATCTATGTTGCATGATGCATCTTATCAACTTGTTATTAATCAACTTGTTATCACACCTCTCCAACAGGTTTGACAACACGTACATTGACGAGGAAATCCGCATCTCACGAGACTCGAGGGGCGACGTGCTTGTTACAGAACGTGCACAGAACTAGCAACACTGATTACCATATATTACGGTATACACTTGTTTTTATATTTATTAGATTCCAATCAGAGGGGCAGGGCTAACTGCAAAGATGCGGTGTACAGTATCTGCAGATCCGAAATGGGGGTGTTCGGGCGTATCCCTGGGTGACACCAACCTGACGTTTTATTCGTTCGTGGCAGGCTGCCGTCTACAGTGGCCCTGCCACCACCCAGGGATACGCCCTTAGAGCAAGCCTTGGTGCTGATAAGTATTTTGCTTTACGTACTACCGTACATTTTGCATTCCAATGCAATAGCTTCAGTAAGTGTACAACGTGGATTGAGGGTGGGAGAGGCTTGTAAGGTAAGGCCTCACAGCTTCTGCGTGCTGTAAGAATCATGATCATTCCTATAATACTTCTGCCATATGGTATATCTGCTGCTGCGCTTGAGCTTGCACTACACTCTGCTTCACTTGGCATCCGCGGCAGACTTGCAATCCCACTCAAACAGGCCGCAGGGTCCTGCAGACATGCAGAATGCACACAAGAGGTGAGGTAAGAGATAGGGGCAAAACTACATAAACTCTGTTCAGAGCAGACAAGTGATCAACACCAAGTTGAAAGGTTATTCAGATTCTACATCTGAGTACTGTAGACACAAAATGCAGGGAAAAGTGATTCGGGGGTGCGAGGGGGGATGGGTTGCGGAGCGGTAAATTAAGTGAAAGAACTGAAAGGAATAGGGTAGGAGTTCTTGTTTCTCTTACCCCAAGGGAACTCCTTGTTGCGAATGTGAAGGTAGGGGTATGCCTGCATTGGCATAATGATTCACACACAAGGGAGAAACAAAAACACCACAATAATGGAATCGATTATTATTCCCTGGTAGTTTTTACGCATGCTGTCCAACTTGCGTGCACACCTCGAAACCTTGTCAAACTATAAGTGACGCATGAGCCGATGCAGTAGTCACCTCTGAAGCTGGTCAAATTTTGAAGCAGAATCTGTCATTTAGGTAAACCGAAACAACGACAAGATGATTATGCACAACCATTGTATACACGACAACACAATGTACGAGTCAGACACACTCCCTCCTTGTACACGAGGAAAGCTTATGTGCACAATGTAGAGCTGCAAACTCGACAAGAGCACCATATAATAGGCCTGTAAAGCCCGCTGGCAGCTCATGACAATGCAAGTTTGTCGATCGGCAAGCACCCGTAATGGGCTGGTTTTAAGGACTTCAGAGAATCAAACCAAATGAAAGAGAAGGGTAACCCACCGGTCGATCGTGCTTCGCGTGGTGAGCGGCTCCCGCAAAGTTGTAGACTCCCAGTGCGAAGCAGCCGACGATGGCGACAGCCGTGACGTTCCGCCACTTGATGGTCTCCTCTGTTCATTCGCACCATGAAACACCGCAACGCACCGCAATGCACCACACCGCAACGCAAAGAGCAGTAGCAAAACGCAATGTACCGCAACGAAACGAAACGAAACGCAACGAAACAAAAATCGTTAGCAACCCATGATTTTCCGGCAAGATGCCATGATGAATATTAAAAATAAGCGGTTCTTGCAATGTAGGAGAAGCCGACGACAACACAGACACATGGGGGGTGACAATAAAGGTTCCAAAGAGTCGGAGGACGACCAACGAGAACATTCAAAAAGAAACTACACGATTCAGAATAAAAGCCATCCGTCTACTTTGGAAAGACGTGCCGTGTGCCATTGTACCGAGGTGACTCGAGTCGACCCAAAAAGTCAACTAAGCGACTGAGAATAAACGCTCCTAAGTTGCCTGTTTCGAGAGAAACTCGGCTCGAAGAACGTGAAAAAAAATTAACGTCTCTGCTCGGTCGAGATCCACAAGGAATGCCGCTCACCAACAAGGTAACTCTTGACTCCACTCAAAAGTCATCTCACGCATAGATCGGGATCCACTATACATGTTTTCCGCAGGTGAAATTTCTTCTCACCAACGTCATGCGCGTGCGACGACGACGACGACGACATTTGCCTCGCGGAGACGTTGCGCAGCATCTCCGCGCGCCGCAGGACAGAGCGAGTCAGAGCCTGAGACATGGTGGTAGGCGATCGACGGCGAGACAGACGGAGCGGATGGACGGTGGCGGTGCGGAGAGACGGAGTGGCTGCGTAAAAGGCGGAGCAGAGACGACGTGTGGCTGCTTGTTGAATAGCCCTGCTGCTGTGATGTAACTGGGACGCCAAGATGCTGGTGGTGATGGAGCAAAGGAAAACGGGTGGGAGGAGGAAGGTAGTCCTGAGGGTTATTTGCCCTGTTGGAGGTGTATTCGGTTCTTATATATTCTTGCATCAGGTTTGTGTCATCTGAGTCAATGTACCCGTCGCTTTGCCCATTTTGGCGTTTTTGCGATAAATATAACGTTATATTTTCTGGTGTTAAAAAAAGGGAAAACCATAAACGGACTGTGCACTGTAGCGGATATTTGAAAATATAATATCCTATAGCAAGGGTTACAGTTTAGGGAAGGAAACATGTTTAGATCAATAAGATGATTCTAATTCCAAATTGTACTGGATGCGAGTGGTTTCATTTTCTGACGCTATTGTTGAGTTTTCCTAAGCCATACACTAATATTCAGGAGGTTGTGGAGACTCTTAGATGGATAGTCCACAAACGAAACGAGCGGTTTGTCTCGCGAGGAGGGTGTTGTCAGAGAATCGCAGGCCGCGCGCATGAAGAACGACTCTCGCAGCTGCTCGCACAGGCGAGGCGACTCTGTTGGCGTTTCAATTTGCGAAAGTGAAGTCGTAAGCAGGCAAACGTCTTTCCCGCTTCTGGTCCGGTGGTGCCCCTTCCCCCCCTTTCTCTTCTCTACCATATCGATCCATGCACTTCGCCTGAATTCTGCTCACTGAAATTCTGCATGGGTTCGTGAGCTTCGGTCTGTCAGCTCAGCATCTTATAACATACCCATTGCCGGCTTGGAACTGCTCGCCAGCAGTCCTGAAAGGAAGGAGTTCTTATATCTTGGTATCACATAGTTCGGGTTTTTCCTCTTTCTAGTTTTTTCACACCAGTAAGCAGGCTGAATTTGGATTTCCGACACAGCGTACTAGTCATGGCCAAAAGGTTTGACCTAGATGGCAAGGAGATCGCACCCATTAGAATGTGTATCATTGGAGCAGCTGGTTTCATCGGATCGCACCTGTGCGAGGCTTTGATGTGGGAGACCAATCATGTAGTGGTGGCAGTTGACATGTACAATGACAAGATCGAGCACCTTCTGGGTGATTCTCATCCATGGAGCGGTCGTATGGAGTTTCACCAGTTTAACATCAGCAATGATCCGCGTCTTGAAGGCATTATCAAGTCATGTGACTTGGTGGGTCTTACTACTCTACATGCAACAAATGCTCGATGTTACCCACCCAAAACGCCTCACTAAGCCTTCAGAAACTTCAGCACTAACGACGATAATTCTTCGTGCAGACGGTTAATTTGGCTGCTATCTGTACTCCAGCGGATTACAACACAAGGCCGCTGGATACTATCTTCAGCAACTTCGTCGATGCACTCCCTGTGGTTAGTTCGCCTTCCAATCACAATGTACAGTGAATTCGTTTTCTCTAGCGGGATGTAACATAATGGATTGACTTTTTCAGGCCAAGTTCTGCTCAGATTTCAAAAAACGACTGATTCATTTCTCCACCTGTGAGGTCTATGGCAAGACCGTTGGAGCCTTTTTGCCTCCTGACAGCAATATGCGCAACGTAAGAGCCTCCTTTTCGACGTCTGTATTGTCAAGTCCATTGTGAATAAGCACTAACGAGTGTCTGACGATTTCTGTCTTGCTCTAAACGTAACAGGATCCCCAGTATTATGTGCTGAAAGAAGACGAAACACCTTGCATTTTCGGGCCTGTGCAAAAGCAACGGTGGTCATACGCTTGTGCAAAGCAGCTCATTGAAAGGGTCATCTATGGTGAGCTGTGCACACCACTTCTGTTGGTTTATTTGGTTGGCTCGCTGGGACTAAATGGAAGATATTTTGTGCTGTGTCACAGCTGAGGGGGCCGAAAATGATCTCAAATTCACCATCGTCCGCCCGTTCAACTGGATTGGTCCGCGTATGGATTTTATCCCTGGAATTGATGGCCCCAAGGATGGCGTGCCTCGCGTTCTTGCTTGCTTCAGCAATGTAGGTACTGAAGGTTTAGTATACGGTGCTCCACTTTAGGTGTTCCACTTTGTCATCTCTGAGCTTGCTCGCGTTGTCCCTGCAGCAACTTCTGCGCGGAGAACCATTGAAGTTGGTTGACGGTGGCAAGTCACAACGGACCTTTGTGTACATCAAGGATGCAATCCGCGCCGTGATGCTTATGATTGTAAGTCCATTTGATGCTTATGCTGCATGTATGTATGCTTATTTGGTCAGTAGTCTGACGAAGTTCACGTATTGCAGGAGAACCCAGAGCGAGCAAACGGGCACATATTTAATGTCGGAAACCCCAAGAACGAGGCTAATGTTCGTGAACTGGCCACGATGATGACACGGGTATGTCAGATGGCTCCAAGCAGTCTATGAAGTAAGTGGGTCTTTCATCTCTAATGGTTACTCATCTCATGCTGTGCAGATCTATTGCAAAGTGAGCAAGCAAGCAGAGCCTGCAACACCCACAGTCGATGTTACATCAAGTGACTTCTATGGAAAGGGTTATGACGATAGTGACCGCCGAATTCCAGACATGACGCTTATTCAGCAGCAGCTGGGTGAGTCTTCTCACATTTTGTGTGTCATGGTAATTATTGTTGCTGTGTGAGATCTTAACAGACTGGACTTTTACTTTGCAGGTTGGGAGCCAGAGACTTCCTTGGAAGAGTTGTTGGATGTGACCTTGACATATCAGTACAGCACATACGCCGAGGCTATTCGACGATCGATGGCACAGACAACTGCAGCGACCTGAACCTGAGGAGACACTAAAACCAGACGTGCCAGCAGCTCCAGGTCATAATTCAATTAAGCTGTAGTTTTAGTGTTGACCATGACTCCAGTTAGCGCATTACTGCATTCTCTTTGTTATGTCGGATGTAGCTCAGCGATATCTCTGTAGGCGTTGGCTGAAGGCAACCATAAATGGAATGTTCTGTACGAATATTATACTGGATGAAACCAATAACAAAGATCTGGATGAAGGGACACCTTTGGTCATCCACATCAATGAAAAATACTGCTAACAAGTTTCCATTCATCTACTCAGAACTATCACCGTTAACGAATTTGTCAAGATCCACAGCAGATCGTTGTTGACCAGGTGATTCCTCCCCTTCCCACATTCGTTGTTAGGCTTTCTTCTTGACGCAGCTGAAGGGACAGTTGTGCCACGTGTCGACTACATTCTACGGGGTCGAGACCCTGTGACGGAAGTTCCGCGCTTTAATCTTCCATGGCTAGACCAGACGAGTCAAGCGCAGAGGAGAGCTCTCCGTTTATGAACATCCACTCGCGAGCAGCCTCATCTCATCCTCCTCTTCACGCTCCACCTGTCCACCGATCCTCCTCACCAGGTGCTCGAGACTCGTTCTTCTCCCTCCCATTCTCCTCCTTCTCCGCCTCATTCTCGATCTCTTCAATCCGACGGCGAGAATGGGCTGTTTTTTTTCGCCAGCTACTAGACCGGCGTTGGTGGGAGTCCGTTTCACGGCATTTGCGTAACAACCCTCGCGAGTTCATCGCATCTGCGTTCGTTGACGGCGACGGCTGGTTTCCCGGAGCGAAGCCGTATCTCGCCGCCCTCCTGATCATCCTCGTTATTATCACGCCGCTATGGCTAGTCTCTAGCATATCAGGAGCGAGTGTATATCTTTCGGAAGAAAATGCGGGAGCGGATGAAGATTTGCGAGGGGAATGGAACACCAAGGGGGGACGGGATGGACTGGATGCCGTCTTGTGCCATGCAGAGGCGGTTTACCGGGTGAGTGAATGTACAGTGGGGAAAGAGCAGGTAAGATTCCGATAGATTGGATGGAGTGGATAAGATTCCGGCTGTTCCATTGGATGCAGAGGCAGCATACCGGGTGAGTCGATGGGTTGTTACTGTCATTTACGCCAAGATGTCCAACTGAAAAATGTCCCTAGGGGCCTATCTATCTGCAGCCCATGCTAAAGGATTTCCACCACATGCACATGTGCGTGCTCATTTCCTCTCTCCCCCTCTTTTCTTCCCCGCACCACCTCGCTCTCCCACCACCTACAGGCCAACATGGCCAACAGAAAGGCATCCCTAGGGGCGATCTTCACACTTTTCTCCCCGTCTCCCTCTCCCTCTCCCTCTCTCTCTCCCACACACTTCAGGCCAACATGGCCAACAGAAAGGCGTCCCTAGGGGGCCACCTGCAGCCCATGCTCAAGGACTTCCATCACATGTGCATGCGCGTGCTCCTCCTCTCTCCCCACCTTCCCTTCCCCCCACCACGTCCCATTCTCACCCCTACAGGCCAACATGGTCAACAGAAAGGCGTCTCTAGGGGGGCACCTACAGCCCATGCTCAAGGACTTCCATCACATGCGCATGCGCGTGCTCATTCCCACGTACCCTTCTCGCTCTTCTCAACTGCCCTCTCTCACCCTCCTCATCTCCCCCACCACCGTCAGGCAAACATGGCCAACAGAAAGGCGTCCCTAGGGGGGCATCTACAGCCCATGCTCAAGGATTTCCATCACATGCGCATGCGCGTGCTCATTCCCACGTATCCTTGCCCTTATGAGGAGAGGGTGGGGGCGTGGGGCGTGGGAGGGAAGGTGTGTGTGGGGACGTGGGCCATGGGGGCAACACTAAGGGATTTCCACCACATGCGCATTCGCGTGCTCATTCCCACATACCCCTGCCCTTATGAGGAGAGGGTGGGGGCGTGGGGCGTGGGAGGGAAGGTGTGTGTGTGGGGAGGCTTAGGGTGTGAAGAGGGGAAATGTGTGCCCCAGAGTGTGGGGAGAAAGGTTTGAGGTTCGATCACATGCGCATCCGCATGCTCATTCCCACGTACCCCTGCCCCTATGGAGAGAGGGTGGGGGCGTGGGGCGTGGGAGAGAAGGTGTGTGTAGGGGCCTAGGGTGTAAGGGGAAGGAAAGGTTTATGGTGTTAAGGAAAAGGGAAGCGTCAGGGACTTGCATCACATGCGCTTGCATGTTCTCATTCTCATGAATTCTTGGACCTATGAGGCGAGCCCCCTTCTAATATGTGACTATGCGTATCTCATTCTTGAATCTTTCCCTCTCATTCTTGATTCCCTCCCCCTTCACCTTTCTACCCCCCCCCTTCCTGCTCCCTCCCATCTCCCAGAAAAGTGCGCCAGATTTTTTATTATTATTATTATTATTATTATTATTATTACAATTTTCCCTCCCTCCTCCTGTCCTTGCATCCCTCTCCTGTGCTCCCCCTCCTCCCGCCCTCCCTTCCTCCCTCCCCCAGTGGGTGTGTTTAATTCCAACAGCCGTTCAAGCCAAGCCCGTAGTCTACAGGTGAGCTCATTCACAGCCATTCCAGATGACTTTTGAGTCGACTCAAAAGCCAAACCCGTAGTCTACAGGTGAGCCCATTCACAAATTTCCAGCCGATGTCCCCTTCAAATCTCCGCTGGAACAGCTGCCCCTTCAAATCTCCGCTGACTGTTTGCCTTTACCTGTGTGTTTAGTGTCTACTGTACAAGCACTATTTTGAAACGTTTATGACTTCACCTGCAAATGCGTTTGCTTTTAACCCTCAATATGGGTGATACTTCACGCACGTATCCACTCAACCTCTAAAACCCTCACTCGCCCCTTCACTCGCCTCTAGCCCTTTACTCCCTCTCCCCAGTGTGGGCAGCAACGAGGAGTATTCATTCGAAGAATCAAACCCACCTACCCTCTCTTCCCTCCTTCGTCCCGCCTTCTCCACCCCTCCTCCCCTCTCACCCTTCTCCCCAGTGTGGGCAGTGACGAGGAGTATTCATTCGAAGAGTCAATGTTTCGCCACTACCGCTCTCAGCCCTACACGCTCGACCCCTTCCTCTCCCCCCTGTTTGTCTCCCACTCTAACCCGTCCCCCTCCTCTCCCCAGTGGGGGCAGTGACGAGGAGTACTCTTTTGAGGAGTCCATGTTCCGCCACTACCGCTCCCAACCGTTCACGTTCGATCCCTTCCTCTCCCCGCAAGCCACAAGACTCCTTTCTTCTTCTTTCTCTCCCTACCCCCTCTCCCTCTTCTCTCCTCTCCCCTCTCACCTCCTCTCCCCCCAGTGTGGGCAGTGACGAGGAGTACTCATTCGAAGCAGCCATGTTTCACCACCACCACTCCCAGCCCTACACGCTCGACCCCTTCCTCTCCCCTCCGCCACCCCCCGTCCCTGACCCTTTCCCCTGCCCCCTCACCCTCTCTGCTGCCGCCTCATTCCCTCTCCTGCCACCTCAACGTCCCTCTCCCCAGTGTGGGCAGTGACGAGGAGTATTCATTCGAGGAGTCAATGTTCCGCCACTACCACTCCCAGCCCTACACCGTCGACCCCTTCCTTACCCTACCCTCTGTTTGACCCCCACTGCAACCCCCTCACACCCCTCTCCCCAGTGTGGGCAGTGACGAGGAGTACTCTTTTGAAGAGTCAATGTTTCGCCACTACCGCTCGCAGCCCTACACACTCGACCCGTTTCTCTCCCCGCAAGCCCAGGCGCGCATGCAGCTGCTGCGCTTCCTGCACTTCCACTCGCTGGGGCTGACTGGAAAGGCTTCATTGGGTGACTACCAGAAGTGGAACCCCAATGCCACGTTCCGCACTCTGCCTGAGTTGATGCAGGTAGGCCGCACCGCACGTGCCTCCCCCTTGCTCTCTTAACATGCAGCTGCTGCGCTTCCTGCACTTCCACTCCCTGGGGCTGGCTGGAAGAGCCTCCTTGGGCGACTACCAGAAGTGGAGCCCCAATGTGACCTTTCGCACTCTGCCTGAACTTATGCAGGTAGGATGGGGAGGGCAGGGAGGGAGAGAGGGAGGATGGATATGGGGGTTATTGCTAGGCTGAGGCAAAGACTACAGCCGCGCATGCAGCTGCTGCGCTTCCTGCACTTCCACTCCGTAGGGCTGGCTGGAAGGGCGTCATTGGGTGATTACCAGAAGTGGAACCCCAACGTCACGTTCCGCACGCTGCCTGAACTGGTGCAGGTAGGTGGGGTTCGAAAGAAGAATGGAGTGAGAGAGGGGAAGGGAAGGGGTAGAAGGTGTGGATGGGGGTATGGTTGGGGAATCCCAGGCGCGCATGCAGCTGCTGCGCTTCCTCCGCTTCCCTCCACTGGACTCACTGGAAGGGCTACGTTATGCAACTACCGGAAGTGGAACCCTAATGTCACGTGGGTGGGAAGGGAGCAGGGAGGAGCAGGGAGGAGCAAGGAGGAGCACCGAGGTGGGGCAAGAAGGGAGAGAAGGGGTTTATGAGGGGAGGGTGTGCAATCTTGCTAGAAGGTTCTCCCAACGTTGCTTTCCGTCTCTGGTAATCAAGTTACCAGAAATGAAAACCACACGCTGCTTTTTCCCTCCAAGCAGGATTTCAACCACACATACATTGATATTCTGAAGCTCAGGTGGGGGAGGTGTGAGGAGGAGGTGATGTTTGACGTGTTCTCTTGCAATACATCCCAGACCCCCCCCCCCCCCCCAACCCCCCCCCCCCTGCTCCCTCTCTTGCAATATCCCCTAAATCTTTCCTTCCCTACAGGATCTCAACCACACCTACGTTGACATTCTGAAGCTCAGCTGCGGGGGATGTGAGGAGGAGGTGATATTCGACGTGTACGAGGGCAGTGTGAATGGGACAGCAGAGGGAGTAGGAAGGGGCATGCTGGAGAAGTTAGGCCAGTTCCGGAGACTAGCAGAAGCAGTAGAACCAGTTGCAGAAGAACCAGCAGCACCAGCAGATGAAGCTGCAGCAGCAGGAACAGCAGGTACTGGTGCAGGCGAGGCGGCAGGTGCGGTTGCCGAAGCAGCAGGTGCTAGCGTTAGTGGTAGTGGTGGAGTGAGGAACTATGAGGAGGGGAGGGAAGATGCAGTAGACCCATCTGTGGGTGCTCGGCTGGCCATCAATGGAGGGAAGCTTCCTTTTGGACAACTTGTCGTCGACTTTCATGAGTAAGCCTCGATGCTCCACCAGCGGGCGTCGTTCGTTATTTTCTACTAATATTATGTTTGTTTGTTTTTCCCGTTTTAATCCGGTGTGTGTTTCCTCTCAAAGATTGTTAACAGATTTACATGGTTTACGATGTTGTGTACACTCTTGTTCAATGGATGCAGGGCTGATGAGCCTCAAGAGCTCCTTTCCTTGGTGTATTCCTTGGAGACAGTTGGATATCGGATGTTCCACATCGAGGACAATCCTTTATGTGACCTATGCATTACAGGTAGCTTCATTCATGAAAGCTTGGTACAACGGTACAACCCCATGAATGGGCTAAATGTGACTCTGGATGAGGATAACTAGGAGCAACCATCAATGGTAATTATCACGGTGAGTCTTCGTTTTTTTTATTATTTTAATTTATTCAGCGGAACATGGACAGCATGTTCATCAAGACGGACATGTTTGCCTCCTAGAGAAGCAAAGCCTCTATAACAACTACATAGGGAGAAAATGTGAACGGTAAGCGGCTTATGCGTGCGAAATAAGGCTGATGCATACCATGCATTCGTTCCTGCGTTCCTGTCACCCTTTATCGCGGAATCCGCCTCTGGCCAATTGACAGCCATGTTTTTGGTGTTTTTATCGACTCCGATTGGCAAAGGGCGAAACAAGGGGACGGATGCTGACCAAGATAAAGCCCGCCAAAACATTTTAGCTTCTCTCGCCAACACGCTGATTGAACAGCTACGTCCACAAATCCACTCGGGTCTTTGCAAGTCCTGCCCCACTGGAAACCTCAGTAACGTACGAAATCGCTTTGAAAGCTTTACCGGCCAGAATCTAGTGGTGGTGGAACCTCATGTACTCTGCATCATTGACCCCTGACTCCCTGAGTGAATCCATGGCTGGCTGGACATTCTTTTCAGTCAGTCATAAAACCGAGCAAGGTCTTTCTTGAGTGCCTCTGCAAAATGTTGAAGGCCGTGACTGCCAGTATGACAACGTCGAGCCCAGTTTGCCGGCCGCGACGTCGTTCGACATCAGTGTTCCCAAAAGGGGTCAGGTGGGTCACACCAGGTGAAAGGTACTATTCTGTAATAATCTGAGCTCCTGAATGTCTTCGCTGTGCAGGTCTTTTACCTTCTAATTCAGACACGGCAGATCCAGGCACAACAGATGCAGACACTAAAGAAGGTTTCTCGTGTCAATCATTCAATCTTCATTCAGGCATTTCTCAATGCGTCTGACGAGACACCCTCAGCTGCGCTCCTGTTGCCTCTACACCTGCGTTTTTCAGCTGAAGCTTTGATAGCGTTCGTCATCACCTTTCAAGAACGCTTTTGAGTCGACTCATAAGTCGACTGCGTTTTAGCTGAAGCTCTGATCGCTTTCTTCATCACATTCAAGAACGCTAAACTGACGGTGACCATACATTAGTTCGCCGTTCCAGCCCTTGTCATCAGAACCGTCAGTCCGTAGTAGCTGATCGAGTCGCGTACATACAAAGATTCGTTTTTTTTCAAAGTTCGGTGGATCCGAAAAATGACTGACAAAAACCTGTCAGGCCTGCCAGTGTACGCGAAAACCCCGCCAGCTATGAATAACCTTCGTACTATAAGCGAACAGGTCGGTAACACCATCCGTCCGTACGTCATCCCCTTCGTTATCATCCTCGCTATAGTCATCCCCATCAACCTCGCATTTCAGTCCAACCGCGGCCTGCTCTCCAGTTGCTGGAGCAGCGGCGGAGGCTCGGCAGCGTCGTTTCCGTACCAGCCGGCAGCGTCGCTTCCGGACCAGCCGACAGCGTCTCTTTCGGATCAGCCGGCAGCGCCTTCTCCGTACCAGCTGGCGGCTCCTCCTCCGTACCAGCCGGCAGCGCCTCCTCCGGACCAGCCGCTTAACCTCGGATGGGCTCAGGCCGTGTTTCCCGGCATGAACGGCAATGACGCGGCCTTAATTTGCCGTGCAGAGGAGGATTACTGGGTGAGTTTTCGACTTCTTCAAGTCTTTCTTCTTGTCCTTCCTTCCGAACCAGCAACATCGTGCCATTGTTTTGAACTTTCGTTCCCTTCATAAGCGGCATTGACGCGGCTATATGCCGTGCAGAGCAGAATCACTGGGTGAGTTTGCGATTCCGATAGTTTTTTTTTTACTTTTCTTCCTTTGTGTACCAGCCTCTCCTATCCTTCAGCGTCCTTTTGAGTTGGATGATGAAAACCTCTTCCCCCCCCCCTTCCACCTCAACCTCCCCCACAATCCACGCGCAGGAGAACCTTGTGCTGAGACGGGAGGCGTGCAATGGAACGCTTTACCCGCTACCCGAAACAATGACAAATATGACCATGAAAACGCTCCTTCTCATCCCCACGTACTCGTGCCCGGCGAACGAGCGCATTGGGAAGTGGGGGGACGGCGGAAAGGTGAGTCCTGAGTTGACCGAGGAAAACGCTGCTGCACTCGTTGATGCTTTTATGCTTGGGAATAAAACCGCCATCCTTGAATCAGTTTTGAGAATGCAAAAATGTAACTCAAGTGCACCCGTGCTTAAGTACACCCCATGTGTTACAACCCCAGCTTGCTGCAGCTCGAATTCTTCTTCCAACTCTCTGTTCCATTCCCCCCCCGATCTCCCTCCACCCACACAAATCTCCATACGCCCAACCCCCTCCTCGTTCCCGAAACGCCAATATCAGTGGACTTGCCTTCTGCCAGGCGCCATTCAGACGGACCCTGTGGTGTACAGGTGAGAGGGGGGGAGAGAGGTGAAAAGTGAGCAGGTGGGGGGATGAGGAACGAGTGAGGATTCATGGGGCAAGTGATGGGGCAGTCTAAGTAGAACAAATAAGTAGGCCAGCTCTTCACCTTGTGAGCAATATTTGAGAATCAGATATATGTTTGCTTGTGCGCGCAAGGGCGCGCGTGTGAGCGATTTTTCAGAATTCTGGAGAAAGGGAAAACAGATGGGTAGCCCGGCTCTTCATCTTGTGTGCTCTTCACCACTCCTATCATTCCTTCCTGCATTTTGTGCCCAACAATTCCCCACCACAGCATTGGCAGTTTCGGGCAGTACGATTTTGAAGACGCCATCTACAAGATTCTGCACGTGCAGCCGCACACGTTCGACCCGTTTCTCCACCCCAGCACCGCCGCCCACATGCAGACCGTCCCCTCCCTCATCTTCCACCCCATCGGCCTCTCTGCAAACTCCTCCCTCCAGTACAACCGCCAAAAGTTCTCTGGCGCTGAGTTCATGACTCTGGGAGGGATCATGCAGCTGTTGAATCATACTTATGTGGACATTTTCAAGATTGACTGCGAGGGGTGTGAGGAGGCGCTGATTGCAGAGTTCGGGGAGGCGAATGGGAACGCTTCTGCGCAACTGAGCTTGCACGGAGGGACGCTGCCGTTCGGGCAGATCTTGATCGAGATTCACCAGTAAGTCTTGATTTGGTTCATGCATTTCAACAGTGCGTTAGAATATGATATGCTTTCATAACTGACTTTCGTTTGCAAGAGGATGTGCACACACTCAGCTGTGTGTGCGCAACGCGACTAGGCAGTGACAAGGACTAGGCAGTGACAAGGACACTCAGCTGTGTGTGCGCCCGTTTCTTTGTCTGGATTCGTTCTCCCGACACTCCATTTAATAAAGAGCGGACAGCCAAACAGCATTCATTATCTTTTTCTCTAAAAAATCGTGTCTCAACTTCGTTCTCCCTTTCTCAAACCCTTATTCCACCAGAACGAATAAACCCGAGGTCACCTTGGCACTGGTCTACACATTGGAGAAGCTTGGGTATCGCATGTTCAGCGTCGAGTTCAACCATGAATGCTGGCATTGCTGTGAGTTGAGCCTGATACACGAGAGCCTCGTGCAGCCAAGTAGCGACAAAAACTGCCGCCCATTTCTGTCTCTAGAAGCGTTCGTAAACAAGGAAGACGCAGATGTTGTGAAGCAGGGAAACCCGAGTGGAGGAGGTGACTTGAAGGAATCGGGTGGAGCATCTGACACTAGCACCCCCCCGCCGTGACTGAGAAGTGCTCATGATCTTAGAGGCGTGGCATATGAATACGCGGATGTCAATACCATAGTTCGGAGAGCTGATGAGCCTGAAGAGCTTCTTTCCCTGGTGTATTCTTTAGAGACAGTTGGATACTGAATGTTCCACATTAAGGACACTCCCTAATGTGATCTATGCATTTCAAGTAGCTTCTTTCGTAAAAGCTTGGAACAACTCAATGAAAGGGCTAGATGCAGCTCTGCGTCACCACCATACTGATAGTCAATCTGTTATAAGCTCTCATAATGTGAACAGCACATGGGTACCATTTAATGAAGGCTGGTAGTATCATAATCAATATATCCCTCAGTAAGTTTGACCTCTGAGCGAGGTACTGAGAAGCTATTGTTCTGATGCTTTCGTTCCATCCACCTCATAATTTCATTCTCATGGAACCCTATATCGAAATCAGAGACGCTTCGCTGAATTCAAGGAAATTCTGACCAATGGGAAAAGGCAGCTGATGGTCTCCAAGAAAAGCCCGCCAAAACATTCCGATTTATTCACTGACACACACAGAACCTCATTGGACGGCTGTTTTCGCGGCCGGCACTTCCATTCCTGACAGCAAACAACATCCCCAACGTTCACTGAACCAGAAACCATGAATGGCTGCGTGAGTATGTTGCTTGTATAACTCGTGCTGATATTTGACCTACAGACCATTGTATAACTCGCCGAGTTTGCTGGCTTCGAATTCAGGGACAGCAGATTCTGGCATAATGTATGCACCCTAGTCTTGCAGCCCATATGCATTCAGACCTTTCCTTATGCCCTAGTCTTGAAGCCATGAACTATCCTTGCAGCCTCGACTCCTGCATTTCTCATCTGAATATCTGAATAGCGTACTCATACTCACACCCGCCATACTTACTAGAGCTGAATCAGCTAAAACCGTTTTTAGAGCTTGCCGGCTAGAAAAATGGCTGAAACACAAATGTCGGACTTACCCGCCAGAGCCGAGGCAGCTCTTAACAACATTCGTTCCATGGCCGAGCCCACGTTACAAACACTACGCACCATAAGCGAACAGGTCGGAAGCACCATCCGTCCGTACGTCATCCCCTTCGCCGTCATCCTCGCTATAGTCGTCCCCATAAACCTGGCATTTCAGTCAAACCCCGGTCTGCTCTCCAGCGGCTGGCGCAGCGGGGAAGGCTCGGCAGCGTCTCTCCCGTACCAGCCGCCTAGCCTCGGATGGGCTGCATTTCTGTTTCCCAGCATGAGCGGTATTGACGCAGCCATCTGCCGTGCAGAGGAGAATTACTGGGTGAGATTTACTAAAAAATCGATCCGACTTTTTTGTCCATTATTTTTTACACACCAGCATATCATTTGTGAATACGCGATCCGGTTCTTTCTATCCTTACGCGTTTCTGTTTCCCAGCAAAGCTGCATTGATGCGGCAGTTTCCTGCACAGAAACGAATCTCAGATTCCGGTTTGTAATTTCCCTTGCATTCGTTTCCGTATCAACAGCATATCGTGCGTGGCGAATCGTTGTTCAATGACTTTGCTATCCTCCCCCCCTCCCTCCCCTTCACCCCTCTCCCCCCGCAATCCCCCTTTTCTTTCCACAGGAGAACCTTGTGCTGAGACGGAAGGTGTGCATCACAACGCTGTAACCCACTTTCCCTCTCCCGCTCTTCCCCCTAATGCCCTTCCCGCAGGAGAACCTTGTACTGAGAAGGAAGGCGTGCAAGGGAATGCTGTACCCGCCACCTGTGCAGTACACACCCGTCTTGATGAAGACTGTTTTGCTCATCCCCACGTACCCATGCCCCGCTAACGAGCGCATTGGGGAGTGGGGGGACGGCGGAAAGGTGAGAGAAAGAAGCGACTGACAACTTCCAACTCCCTCTGTGCCGTATGAAGCCTTCGGTCCCAACTCTAGCTTGCTGCGGGAAACCTTCCAACTCCCGTTACCCACCGCAATCTCGCTCCACCCACCCCAATCTCCCTCTACCCACCTTAATCTCGCTCTACCCACCCCAATCTTCCTCCACCCACCCCAATCTCCCTTCACCCACCCCAATATCCATCGACCCACCCGTCCACTCCAATATTCATATGCTCACCCTTCTCCCTCACCCCGTTCCCCCACCTTACCACCACAGTGGACTTGCCTCCTGCCAGGCGCCATTCAGAAGGACCCTGTCGTGTACAGGTGAGGGGCGTGGAGAGTAGTGAGTCATGGGGTTAGTGACGGGGCAATTGAAGGGGAAAAGAGATGGGGAGTGGCATGTCCGCTCCTTCCACTTCCACTCCGTCGGCCTCTCGGCAATCCTTTCACCATCGACCCATCCTCCCCATCAAGCAGATTTTCCTCCCCATGTGCTGACTCTCCCACTCTCTGTGCTTATCCCGTTTCCAGCATTGGCTGTCACGGGCAGTACTCGTTTGAAGACTCTGTTTACAAGCTTCTGCACGTGCAGTCACACACGTTCGACCCGTTTCTCGATCCCGCCACCGCCGCCCGCATGCAGAAGGTCTCTTCCCTCATCTTCCACCCCATCGGCCTCTCTGCAAACTCCGTCCTCCAAATCTACACCGCCAAGTTCCCTCAAAAGCAGTTCAAGACACTAGGAGGCATCATGGAGATGTTGAATCATACATACGTGGATGTGTTCAAGATTGACTGCGAGGGGTGCGAGGAGGCGCTGATTACGGAGATCGGGGCGGCGAATGGGAATGAGGCAGCTCAGCTCAGTGTGCACGGGGGGACGTTGCCTTTCGGACAAATCTTGGTCGAGTTTCACAAGTGAGTTGAATGAAAGGGAAAGCACCCAGGAAGAACTGGCTGTGGGACTGGTTGTAAACACACCAAGTTATTACAAAGACTGCTGCCTGTTCTTAACTTCAATTCCAAGCTCCAGACACTCTTTCTTGCATTCCCCCTCTCTCCCTCTCTCACTTGCTTACTTGTTTTTCTCCCTCCCTCCACCAGAATGCACCTGCCCCAGGTCACCCTGCCGCTCATCTACACGTTGGAGAGGCTTGGGTATCGCATGTTCAGCATTGAGTACAACCAGCAGTGCGCGAAATGCTGTGAGATGAGCTTCGTACACGAGAGCCTCGTACGGCCTGGTAGTGACAAAAACTGCCACCCGTTTCTGGCTTCGGAAGTGTTTGTAAACAAGGAAGATGCAGATGCTGTGATGCAGGAAAGGCTGGGTTCCGGAAGTGACTTGAAAGAATCAGGTGGAGGAGGTTGAGTATATCCGACACTAGCACCCTGTGGAAGTCAGTCATTGGGAGTCATTCCGGGTATGAGCACATGTAATTGTTCTGCTGTATAATCACATGTTTTGTGAGGTGCTGTCAATCTGTGACGTTTTTGCTCAGGAAGGACAGGTGCTGAATGATTGATAAAAACCAGAAGCTATAAAGGCAATGTTTATAACATGTGGCTTGCTAGAGGTATGTTTATTTTCTGGCATGGTAAGGTCTCCACCATAGAGGTTTTGCCCAGCTTCTGACAGGCTAATAGACAGGCTCAATGCAACTCTGGATGACAATGAGAGCAACATCAAGTAACCAACTAAAATTTTGTTATCATCTCACGTTATATGAACATAATATCTACAAGTGAAGCCTGGCGGCATCCTAATAAAGCTCCTTCAGTAAGTTATTTCTGTAAGTAGATAGTAAGTTTTGGTATAAGAAGGTATATTACACAATGAAAGCAGCTAAAACATATGATTTCGTTCCATCCACCTCCTCGTAAGTTAATCCCTTCCACTTATACCGAATTATGAGGCCTTGTGCCGAATTCGCGGAAAGCCTGACGGTCAGACGGGAAAGCAGTGAGCTTCTAGTCCTGACCAATCAGCAGCCCTGCTTTTGGTGCCTCTTTGACTGTTTGGCCTTCTGGCCGTGCGGAGGAACGGATAACAAAAGGCGGTGGGTGCTGCTGACCAAGAAAATCCCGCCAAAACATTTTGCTTCCACACATCTGCTGACACAAATGCTCATTGGGTAGCAAGGCAACATCGGCCTGCATCCACTGAACCGTGAACCATGAATCTATTGCTGCTGGTATTTCAATTTGCTTCCCCCAGGTCGTCATGTTCTGACGTTTCTTGCTTGCATGAGTGGGTATGTTGGATAACTCGTGCTGATTATCGAGGTACGAACTTTCTTATCTAGTCGCCTAATGCACGAGCGATTTTCTGTTTCTCAGTTCCTGAAGTGCTTCAGTGTCCGAGTTTTCCTGCTTCGGATTCAGGCACAACAGGTTCTGACACAACCTAAATGAAATCTTTGATGTTTTGCAGCCTAAATGCATTCAGCATTTTCCTATACAGTTCAAAAGCTGAAGTCGTGAATTGTTTCCGTAGCCTCGACTCCTGCGTTTCTCAACTGGATATCTGATTAGCTTACCTGGACGCCGAACTGACCTTGGTTAATGACTAGCTCGCCGTTCCCGCTCTTGCCTTCAGCACCATCAACTCGCCGACAAGCGATCAAGTCGCGTGGATTCTGATAAAAAGATGAATCTTTAGAGCTTGACAGCTTGGAAAAATGGCTGAAGAGGTCCTGTCGGACCTACACGCCAGAGCCGAGCCAGCTCTTAACAACCTTCGCACCATGGCCGAACCCGCATTACAATCACTACGCACTATAAGCGAGCAGGTCGGAAGCACCATCCGTCCGTACGTCATCCCCTTCGCCGTCATCCTCGCTATAGTCATCCCCATTAACCTGGCATTCCAGTCGAACCCCGGTCTGCTCTCCAGCGGCTGGAGCACCGGCGGAGGCTCTGCAGGGTCGCTTCCGTACCAGCCACCTAGCCTCGGATGGGCTGCATTTCTGTTTCCCAGCATGAACGGCATTGACGCGGCTGTATGCCGTGCAGAGGAGAATTACTGGGTGAGTTTTCTTTTCCTATTTTTTTCCTGGCGAACTGGCGTATCTGTTTCCCCAGTTTTCGCGCACTTTACGTTTTATTTAGTTGAATAATAAAATTCCCCTTCGCCTTCCACCTCCCACTCCCCCCCACCCCACGCTCAGGAGAACCTTGTGCTGAGACGGAAGGCGTGCAAGGGAACTTTGTACCCGCCACCAGCATCGATGACAGATGTCGTAATGAAAACTCTCGTGCTCATCCCCACGTACCCGTGCCCGGCGAACGAGCGCATTGGGGAGTGGGGGGACGGCGGGAAGGTGAGTTTAACCGGGACTCAAGGGGGGCGAGGGGGGGAGGGGGCCCGGAGAAAAGTGAGGGATGGGGAGTGGAGAGGTGAGTCGAACGTGGGAGATGGTGCACGTTCTTACGTATCCGTGCCTGGGGGGGAACGAATGCATTGGGGAGTGGGGGGATGGCGGAAAGATGAGACAGAACTTTGCTGCAGCAAAACTCTCTAACTCCCTATACCCCCCCCAATCTCCATCCTCTTATCCTACTCCCCGTTCCTGACCCCTTCTCCCCCGCCTCACCAACTACCGCAATAGACTTGCCTGCTGCCACCCTGTCTCCCTCTCACTCAACCCACGCCTATCTCTCTCAACTCACGCCTAACTCCCTCAACCCCACCCATCTCCCTCTGCCCACCCCACCCCTCTCCCCTCCCCCTCACCAACCGCAGTGGACCTGCATGCTGCCAGGAGCCATTCAGAAGGACCCTGTCGTGTACAGGTGAGGGGGGAGGGGGGGCTTTTGAGGGATACATGAAAAGTGAGGGCTGTGGGGTGGTGTGAGTATTGAGGAGGGTGATTAAGTGTGAGTTTGTGGATGAGTGTAAGTGAGTGTGTATGTGTGTGTGTCTGTCAAGTGTATAAGGCCTTCTCCTATTTTTTGTGCATGCCCTGCCCATCCCATAACCAGCATTGGAAGCTTCGGGCAGTACTCATTCGAAGATTCTATCTACAAACTTCTGCACGTGCAGCCGCACACGTTCGACCCGTTCCTCGTTCCCGCCACCGCCGCCCGCATGCAGAACCTCTCCTCCCTCCACTTCCACCCCATCGGCCTCTCGGCTGCCTCCGAGCTCCAAAACTACACCACCAAGTTCCCTACCATGCAGTTCATGACTCTGGAAGGGATTATGCAGCTGTTGAATCATACGTATGTGGACGTTTTCAAGATTGACTGCGAGGGGTGCGAGGAGGCGCTGATTCCGGAAATTGGGGAGGCGAATGGGAATGCAGCGGCGCAGTTGAGTGTGCACGGGGGAACGCTGCCGTTCGGACAAATCTTGGTCGAGTTTCACAAGTGAGTTGCGAGTATCACAAGGGGCCATATATACTCAGCTGTGACTGCACAGATGCAGCCATGCAGCGACAAGGACTTCCGCCCGTTTCTGTCTTTCAGTTCATTATTTCCACACTGTTTCTTACCGGTACTTCTTTTTTTTCTCTCTTCCCCCTTCCACCAGAATGAACCTGCCCCAGGTCACCCTGCCGCTCGTTTACACATTGGAGAAGCTTGGGTATCGCATGTTCAGCATTGAGTACAACCAGCAGTGCTGGCATTGCTGCGAGATGAGCTTCATTCATGAGAGCCACGTGCGGCCGAGTAGCGACAAAAACTGCCGCCCGTTTCTGGCTTCGGAAACGTTTGTAAACAAGGACGATGCAGTTGCTGTGATGCAGGAAAAGATGGGTTTAAGAGGTGACTAAAGGAATCAGGTGGAGGAATCTTAGTATATCGTATACTAGCACCCTTTTGACTGATGGAAAGAGACGTCACATGAGCCTGTAATGAGTTTGTTATATTTTCCTCGAGGTATTACAGATGTACCTATCTTGTTGGCTAGGTAGGGGTGGGGTGGCAGAGGCTGAATTGGATCAGAAGAAGTAGACTCTTTATTTTCTCTCTCCAGTATTTGGAGTGTTTACAATACCGTATGTGGTTTAGGGTGTGTATAGTTCATCATCTGAACCAAATTGGCCTTCATCATCTGGCACGAAACCGCTGGCGCCAAAAAGTCAAGGCCATTCGAAACAGAGGATATTATAGGTGTTTGCAATGATCGGTGCAGTGGATTACCAGTCAGTTGAATATGGTTTCTGACTGTCTGTCTGTCTGTCTGTCTGTCTCTATTGTTTCCTTTCGTTCCCATCACCCCATGGAGGGCATGGTGTTCCTCTCGCAAGAACCGCGTCGCACCTCGCCGTCTAAAGACCGAGGCTCTGACATCATCTCCACCAATTAACGACCAGCCAGGCCTCCCCTTTCATTTTCAGGAACCCCAAACCAGGGTTTTCCCAAACCGAAACCCAGCCAAGGCAGCCAAGTCCCAATTGGTGATCAGTGCGGTATCAATTCCCGCATGGTCTAGCGTGGTTAGGACACGGACCTGAACGCACCGAACCAAACAAAACCATGACCCACGCCTTGACAACAAACAACACCTCCTCACTACGATTCATCTTGGTCATATACCCTACCCAACCGTTCGGGAAAACAGAACCACCGTGCTGAACGGCATGATATCTCACCAAGCCGCACTGAAATGAGTAACTGTACTGGCTGGAATCTGGCAGGAATACTGATGTTCTCCCGAACAGGGCCACTGATTGTGAATCTGTGGAATGAGCTGCATTCTTGCAGAACTACTCTTCACTCTTCAGTGAGACAGCTAGTCAAGTGCTGCACTTCAGTGAGACAGGATTCTTTACTGACACCTCTTTCCGAGCTCCACCCCGCAAGACAGAAGCGTGACGCTCGCAGCGTCATACACAAGTGTCAAATTAGACGAAAAGAAAGGGTAATAGTAGTAGTATAAAAATAAAATCCACATTGTTCTACTGAAAGTCTGCTGGACGAAATGACGACCCTCGAAGAAAAACCCAAGACGCCGAAATCCTCCCTCAATCGTGTTCCATCACTCAGATCCCTAACATCGCCATCCGTACTTAAATCCATCTTACCCCACGCGGTCATTATTGCGGTTATTACGGCGATTATCATCCCCATTTACCTGACGTTCGCGAATCCTGGGTCGTTGTCCCTGTCCTGGAGCAATGCCGGAGAGTCTTTTCAGACGCCTGCTCTCGAATGGACTGGGAAGATGTTTTCCAGTATGAGCGGCTTCGACGCTGCGTTATGCCGAGCAGATGCAGTCTATTGGGTGCGTAAACGTTCGTTCTATTGTTTTCTGCTTAAGTTTTTGTTTTTGTTTTTCTTTATTCGGCTTTTCCGTGCTCAAGAGTTTGTTTTTCTTTCATATGGTGACATTCTTGTTGCCATGTACCGGCCACATCCCGCATTGAGGCTGCATTGCTGTTTACCATTTTGGTGAAATGAGGTCGATACCGTCAATAGGTTTCGTGCAATGTGGTATTCGTCTTGACCGCGACGTCTCGGTGAAACCAGCATTGGCAGTACCCGAGCTGCGAGCTGTTAAGCGAAGGGCGAGGCGAAGGGCTCAAACATCACGGTTTTTGGGTCGAATCAAGAACCACCGTGTGGAGGGAAGGGCTCAAACATCGGAAATGAGAAAAACAAGGAGCGAGATGCTTCGATCTCCTTTAGAGTCGACAAAAAACAATGCGACTTATAAGTTTGATATAAGTTGGAACAAGGAACCGGTGCGAGTGATTCCTTGCAGCATTTCTCTCGTTTGACTTTCCCGTGCAAAAGAGCATCGCTCACAAGAAAGAGGCGTTGAACGGCGCGCTGCAGCCCAGGATGTGGAACCCCGTGCGAATGTGTGGTTACCGTGTAACATCCTTTTTCGTTTGTCTTTCCCGTGCAGAAGAACATTGCTCGCCGGAAGGAGGCCTTAAACGGCGCGCTACAGCCCAAGATGTGGAACAACGTGCGAATGAAGGAGCTGGTGCTCATCCCCACGTACCCGTGCGCCATCAACGAGCGCATTGGCAAATGGGGGGACGGCGGAAAGGTGAGATAAACAGGGAGGGATGGGAGGAAGGGGTTAGGAGGGGAGGATTTGAAGGGAGAGGGCTTGTGCTCATCCCCACGTACCCGTGCGCCATCAACGAGCGCATTGGCAAATGGGGGGACGGCGGAAAGGTGAGATAAACAGGGAGGGAGGGGAGGAAGGGGTTAGGAGGGGAGGATTTGAAGGGAGAGGGCTTGTGCTCATCCCCACGTACCCGTGCGCTATCAACGAGCGCATTGACAAATGGGGGGATGGAGGAAAGGTAATATACACAGGGAGGGAGGGGAGGAAGGGGTGAGGAGGGGGGAATCTGAGTGAAGGTGCTGGTGCTCATCCCGTGCGCTACCATTGAATGCAACGGCAAGGTATGGCCCCTCCTGACCCCATCACGTGGTGATCCCTCCTGACCCCAACACGACCCCATCACGTGGTGATCCCTCCTGACCCCATCACGACCCCATCACGTGTTGAGCCCTCATGAACCTATCACCTGTTGACCCCTCATGACCACTTGTTTTCGCTCCGCCTTCCTCCCCATCCCCTGTGCCCTCTCCTTTCGCTCTTTCCTGTGCGGAGGTGACGTGCCTTGTGCCCAACGCCATCCATAGACTAATGAACCCTCGTGAACAGCTCATCGCCCCTCTACACCCCTCACGACCTCTCCCCACCACCCCCCATGCCCTCTTCTGTGCGCAGTGGACGTGCCTTCTGCCCAACGCCATCCAAAAGACTAACCCCGTCGTGTACAGGTGAGGGGAGTGTGCTGGGGTGAGGGGAGTGTGATGGGGTGAGGGGAATGTGATGGGGTGAGGGGAGTGTGATGGGTTGAGGGAAGCTTCTGTTGTTTGGTCGTTGAATCTTTGATGGAACGTTGAAATCTTTAGAAGCATTAACATGCATCTGTTTGATAAAGAAGCGCACAGGATACAGTCTTCTGATCCCACGACCCCCTCTTGTTCCTCCTTTCAACACCCCCCCCCTTGCTCTTCTTCTCTCTCTCTCCCTTTTCCGCCGTCTGATAGCGTCTTGCCATGTATTCGTTTGAGCAACTTCATGTACGAGATACTCGCCAGACCCTCTCACTCTTCTCTCCCCCTCCTCTCCCTACAGCATTGGGAGCTTTGGCATGTACTCGTTTGAGGAGTCCATGCACAACATTCTAGGCGTGAAGCCCTACACCTTCGACCCCTTTCTTAATCCGACCAACTTGGAAATTATGAAAAACCTCACATGCCTTCACTTCAACGAAATCGGCATGTCTGGGGCAGCATCTCTCGCCGGCTACAAGAAAAACTCCCCAGACAAGAAGTTTATGACTCTGCCCGAAATGATGAAGGAGATGGGGCACACTTATGTGGACGTGTTCAAGATTGACTGCGAGGGGTGCGAGGTGGAAATGGTGAAGGACATGTGGACGGCATATCAGAACTCGGGGAATAAGCTCGCCCTGCATGGAGGGAATCTGCCGTTTGGACAGATCCTCATCGAGTTGCACAAGTGAGTCGCTCTATATGGAGTATTTTTGTGACCGGGTGAGTACCCAGTATGTGGTTGAGCGTGGTCAGCCTTGCTCCTTATGATCAACAGGTATGGGTTCTTTTTTACTTTTGAATCCGCCTACGTGTTGGAATGGCTTGAATGATGCATGTTCAGCATCCAGCATCCAGAGACCCTTCCCATTACACTCTCGAGAGGCTCGGGTATCGCATGTTCAGCCTCAGCTACAACCCCTAGTCTGCCTTTCCCTTTACCATATGACTGCCCCCTCTTTCCCCCACCCCTCCCTTTCCTCCCAATTCTCCATCCCTAAACAACCCCTCCTGCACATTACCAGCATGAACAGTGCTCCTATTTCCCTCGAGACCTTCTACACTCTTGAGAAGCTCGGGTATCGCATGTTTAGCATCGAGTACAACCCCTACTGCCCCATGTGTGTCGAAATGAGCCTCATTCACGAGAGCCTTGTGAAGCCCTCGAGCGAGACCGACTGCCGGCCGTTTGTAACACCTGAAATTAAGAATGCAGGTGAGGAGAAGGGGAAGGTTGGGGGTGCAGGTGCAGGTGGCAAGTAGATGGCGGAAGTGCTTCAGAAGGAAGGGGTTGATGGTTTGGAGTAGGTCTCAAAGGCAATGGAGATTTTGAAAGGAGGTGGTGTGAATAGGAGTTTTCTACGGAGGAATTTAATTTGGTGCAAGATTTGCCAATAGATATAATTAGAGGTATACTTAGAGTTATGTATTGATGAGCGCTAGTGCTTCTGAATTTTAATTTCTTGTCTATGTTGACGACCAGCAGCAATAGTAATTTGTCAAGTTTGATTGAAGGCAATACGGGTATGAAACGTAAGAATTTCCTCATGAATGAAGGTCTAGATTGTGTTTTCTAGCGTCAAGATGTGCTGATGAATCTGGGACTACCAACCGATAACGCGGAAAAATCGTTTGTTGCGAATGACGGTGGTATTTGCCAGTTTGATTGGTCGGGCTGGGATCCCGCCAAGCTCGCTGCGCCAAAACCCTGTCAGCTTGGTTCGGGCACCGCCTGACGAGGATGTTTGCTTTGACTGCGCGTCCTTCCCAGACCTGACCTCCGAACTGCTGCCCTGCCCAGCCCAGTCGCCTGTCAGACGCCATGAACCACCCTAAACCTCTCCGAACCAATCATCTGCTCTCCCGCCTGTGCTACAGCTTGCAACTCAACCACCAAAGCAGAAAACAGTGTCAGAAGATGGTAACAGATATCATTTGCTGGACATCAGTACGGTGTCGCAGCAATAATACTCGGTGTCGTGGTGTCAAGAAAGGTTTGAACCAGGTTTTGCTCCGCGGTCGCTTTCCTATATGGAGGTGGAAAGAAAGGCAAAAGCTAGCATAAAGGAGTGCAAAAGCTCGACTACTCCATGCACCAGTCCTGGACATAGCCTGACTCAGTAAAACGCGTTTTTTTTGAAGGATCTGGTTTCGCTTCCAGAGCCTTTGAGCTCGGTTGTGTCGACGACTGGTTGCTAGTTATAATATCGGGATTGCTTTTCACCAAGGATTCCTAACTTCCCGATTTTCGGAGCTCTTTCTGCGATCCGCATTCTCACACAGAAAGAAAGGCAAACAAGCATACACATTAATCCAAGATGGGTTCCGATGATTTCAAGAAGAGTCACTCTCCCGCTAATTCCAAATCATGCATCAAATGCATGACTCCCTACGTCATCGCTCTAGGCGTGCTCGTCGCCCTGATGACCTTCTTCCACCTGTCACCATCGCAGCCGTCGCCTGGATTAAGCTCCTTCGGTCCGTCTTACCTTCCACCGAATCTCGGCTGGGTCGCGTTTCTGTTTCCCAGCACGAACAAGATCGACGCGACGATCTGCCGCGCGGAGGCAAATCATTGGGTGAGAATTTGACAGAAAAGCATACACATTTGCATCCGTATGTAGTTTTTGGCTTTATCGAGTCGTTTCTCAGCGCAGGTGCGAGGAGTTTCAAAGCGCATTTTCGGTCTAAGCGTCCACATTGGATTAACATGGATGTCGAATAAAACACGCACATTTAATGACCTCATTCTCGTCCTTTCATGCAGGAGATTTAGGAGAATTCCAAAGAAATTCCTCACAATGCAAGAGAACGTTGAGCACAGCGAGGGGAGCTTCGTCTTGAAGGCACATTCTCCGTCCAAACGTCCTCATTTGATTATATCCTTCTCGTTCTTTTCCTCTTTCCGGATTGCAGGAGAACATTGAGCGCAGGCGCAAGGAGTTCAAAGGCGCGCTATAGCCGATGCTGGGCAACCCCCAGTTTGTCAACATTCTCCGTCTACGCATTTACATTTCCTCTCTTTTATCGGAATTTATTATTTCTTATCGGGTACATTTCCACGTTACAGGAGAACGTTGAGCGGCGGCGCAAGGAGTTGAACGGCGACCTACAGCCGATGCTGGGCAACCCCGTGCGAATGAAGGAGCTGATCCTCGTGCCCACGTACACGTGTCCGCTCAACGAGCGCATCGGGAAATGGGGCGACGGCGGGAAGGTGAGACGGGAGTTTGGAAAGGTTAAGAGGAAGAGAGAGGGGTGCAGTACGGTTCTGAACCCCGTGCGCATGTAGGAGCTGATCCTCGTGCCCACGTACACGTGTCCGCTCAACGAGCGCATCGGGAAATGGGGCGACGGCGGGAAGGTGAGACGGGAGTTTGGAAAGGTTAAGAGGAAGAGAGAGGGGTGCAGTACGGTTCTGAACCCCGTGCGAATGAAGGAGCTGATCCTCGTGCCCACGTACACGTGTCCGCTCAACGAGCGCATCGGGAAATGGGGCGACGGCGGGAAGGTGAGACGGGAGTTTGGAAAGGTTAAGAGGAAGAGAGAGGGGTGCAGTACGGTTCTGAACCCCGTGCGCATGTAGGAGCTGATCCTCGTGCCCACGTACACGTGCCCCCTCAACGAGCGCGTCGGGAAATGGGGCGACGGCGGGAAGGTGAGACAGGAATCCGTGAGAGGATAAGAGAGTCTCGCGCCTTCCCCCACGCCCCCCCCCCCCCCCCCCTATTCCCTTCCCTCTTCCCCTTAAACAAAGAGAAAAAGGAGAACGAGAAATGTCGCACTAATAACTTTTGCATGTCCCTCAGTTTAACTGTTCTCGTGCCTCGGTCTCATCCATCCTTTCTCATGTCTCCCTTCTCGTACCTCCCTTCTAATGCCCCCCTTCCCTCATGCCTCCTTCCGTCCGCAGTGGGCGTGCATGCTGCCGTCTGTCATTCAGAAGAAAGACCCAGTCGTGTACAGGTGAGATGCAGTGCGGTTGAAGGCGGTGAGAGGTGGTACGGGTGAGTGCGTGCTGGTGGCGGCCACAGCTTTTTACGGAGAAACTTTTCATAAGACTGTCACATGATTGGTTCGCACTCTTCCCTCCCCCCTCCTACGTCTCTCCTTGGCAACTTCTGCATGTACTCGTTTGAAAAGAAAAATGCAATGAATGTTGCGCACAATGCCCTTCACCTTCAATCTCCTTCCCCCCTTATCTTTTCCTCCCTTCCCTCTCTTCTCTTTTCCCGTTTCCCTCCTTCCTTCTCCTCTGCAGCATCGGCAGCTTCGGCATGTACTCATTTGAAAAAGAAATGCACCAAATGCTGCGCACCATGCCCTACACATTCGATCCCTTCCTCCCCCCTGAAAAGCGCAACGTCATGGCCTCGCTCCCCTTCCTCCACTTCATCGAAATCGGCCTCTCCGGAACGGCCACCCTCCCCACCTACCGCTCGAAATTCCCCGAAAAAAAGTTTGCGACGCTGCCAGAGATGATGGGGCAGTTCGGGCACAGCTACGCGGACGTGTTTAAGATTGACTGCGAGGGGTGTGAGGTTGAGTGGATCAAGGACCTTGGCAAGCAGTACAACAACACTGGCAAGAGGCTGGCAGTGCATGGGGGGAAGCTTCCTTTCGGACAGATCCTCATCGAATTCCACAAGGGGTAGTTCAGGATGCGGTAGGTTTTTACCCTGTTCAGCACCTGTTGTGGAACCCACTTAGGCACCCAAATTTGCACCAGTTTCTCTCTTGTCTCAGCCGAGTTTGTAAGGTCAATTAATTTGCTCCTGCTCTTCCGCCCCCATCCCTCAGTACCCCAACCTAGTATCCAGCGACCCTAACCACCTCTCCCCTCACCTGCTCCGCCCCCTGCCTCCCCATCCTCGTTATTGTCTGTTCCCTTCCCGTTTGCAGCATGGACAAGAGCGTCAAGACTCTCACAATGGTCTACACGCTCGAGAATCTCGGGTATCGCATGTTCAGCATTGAATACAACCACCGCTGCGCCGTGTGCTGTGAGATGAGCTTCATTCACGAGAGCCTTGTAAGGCCAGATAGCGCCACCGACTGCCGCCCGTTCCTGGCGCCCCCGCTATAGGACAAGCTGGAAGTGGAGGTGGTGACTGAGGGAGGTGGTACTGGTGATGATGGTGATGGTGATGGTGCTGCTGATGGCGAGGGTGCTGCTGCTGCTGATGGTAATGGTGCCACTGGTGATGTTGGTAGTACTGGTGGTGATGGTGTTGGTGCTGTTGATGGTGCTGCTGCGGCTGCGGAAATTGCTGGTGGTGCGGTGGATGGTGTTGATGCTTCTGGCGCTACTGATGCTACGGATGCTACTGACGCCGATGGTTCGATTGCTGAAACTGCTGCTGCTGATTCGATTGCTGAAACTAAGGACACCAAGGAGGCAGAATCTGCCGGTGATTCTGATATGGAGCCTGGCAGCAAGGTGGCTGCTGAGGAGATTGAAAAGGAGAAGAAGGGAGAGGACAATGAAGAAGAGGAGGAGGAGACGGCAAGTGAGAAGGTTGTTGGAAACAGGAAGGTGAAGATTGGAGGGAAGGGCAAGGAGGAGGGGAGCAGCAAGGGGACTAGCAAGGTGACCAGCAAGGGGAGCGTGAAGGGAAGCACCAAGGAAAGAAGTACCAAGGTGGGGAAGAAGATCAGCAAGGAGAAGAGCAGCAAAACGAGCAAGAAGGAAACCAAGGAGGAGGAGGAAGAGGAGTGATCGATGATAATTGGAAAGAAGCTAGTGGGCTACGGAAGAAGAGTTGGTGGGGTTGGGGGAGAGCTTTTCAAGGCAATACCGTGGCCATTTACCAGTCTGGCATTGTTATTAGAGCATGGATTTAGCATATGAAAGAATAGGAATTATGTTGTTGAAAATTAGGTTTCCATTAGCTACTTATTGTTGAAGACAGTATGGAAACTCCTTATTTGGATCTTGATATATATAATGAGATGGTTCTAGCGGATCTTTATGTACTTCTCTTTATGGGAAGCAAATACTTGTTGTTACATACGACAAATATAACGGATCGCACGAGCGGGTAAATGAGGAACTCAAAAATGTGTTGACGAAATGCCTATCGAGGTTGTAACCAGGTCACTAAGTCCGCTCCCAAACGCGTTGGGAGAAACAAGGATCGCGAGATGAAATGAGGACCTCTTTTGCGAAAACGTTAGCGAAATGCTTAGTGAAGCGATTTCGAGAAAGTGCCCTCTGTAAATTGAATTAATCGCCGCGTTCTGGGTGCTGTGATTGGCGTTCGGGCATTGCCTAATTGGAACAGGAATTTTGATTGGAGGATCGCCCTCCAAAATTGCATTATGCGGCCCTCGTATAATTCAGTGCGATTCGCCGCTGTGGGCTATGGGTGAGGGTGAGGTGAGCGCGCATCAACGCAGAACCGCACTTCAAGCATTTCCCTGAAACCCAGCTGTTGCATAAAATGAGACTTCTCACAGTTCCTCTTCACCATTTACTTCTACAAGCCACAACTCTAGAACCACACAGTGCGCAATTTGACCCTTTCTACTACTCCAGCTGTTGATAGCCTCGCGCTAGTGAGCTTTCGTCAGTATGCTGCTCGGGTTTCTCCTGGTGCTAATCTTGTCTTGCGGACCGCGTGACAGTGAAGGAGCGAGTCGGGGGCGGCTTCTAACCGATGGCGAGCACGGTAAAAGTAAGTCACGATCATTTCTCCCCGCCGTTATTCACCACGTTCAGCCCCGACGAACGTGTTAACCTTGCCTCTTCCGTGCCTCACGACTATTACGTTCCATTCCGCGTCCCCCGAGATTTAACTTGTACATCAATTTTACCCCAATTCTCTTCCCGATCCCCTTGGGCAGCCGGAGTCGCACTCCAATCGTCGTTCGAGCAGGCTCTCTCCGCTCCTGGCGACTCGGGCGACGCGCAAGTCCCCTTGCTCTTTGAAGACGCTACCCTTCCGCGCAAACTGCAGCAGCAGGGGCAGCAGATTCCGACGCTGAGGCAGATCGGCAGACAGATGCTGACAACCCTGAAGCAGCAGCAGCAGCGGAAGAAGCCGAGGCCGAAGACGCAGAAGATCGCCTCCGATACAAGGTAGATAGCTGTTGTTGTTTTATTAGTAATCCCTATCAATGCTCTTTCTCTCCATGCATATTTTCTTGTGAGACTTTTTTCCAATCATGCCATGCTTCTTGAAATGCTGCTCGTTCCCCACCGCCGCCGTCTCGTCATCCCGCCAACAAGAATTTCTGGCCTGGGGATTGCGGGAGAGACAGCACGCAAGCAGATGCAGGCCTCTGTGCCCCCACAGTGGAGCTTTGCCGTCGTTTAGAGTGGGGCTGTGATGACCACTGTGGCACAGTGTATCATTGATGCATTTTGTTGTGTAACGCTGTTCGTTTCCTTGCGTTTGCAGCAAAACCTCCTGGCCCGAGGTGGTGGGGATGAAGGGAGAGAAGGCTCTCAAGCATATCAGAGCCGCTGTGCCGCCTTCGTGGACCGTTGCCGTCATTCCGAGTGGGTTTATGATGACCACCGACTTTCGAGAGAATCGCGTTCTCATCTACGTGGACAAAGCTGGAATCGTTCAGAGAGCTCCCACGGTTGGTTAGCATTTTTGAATGAGACGGACTAGTGGTCTACATTAGTGAGAGTGGGCACATGGCGTTTAGGCTGCAGCCAAACTGTAACATAGAGCAGGGTTGTGGGACATATGGGGATAAATGAATCGGGTAGAAGTTGTGTTTCAAACACTGAGTGGGTATTGAACTGGGTGACACCGTAGGATTTTGGTAAAGCCATATGTATGCTTTGATGCATTGTATTGTAATACTACCCGACGTTTCTTGCATGAGCGCTATTCTGAGTTGCATCAGCATTCAAAGCGTCATGTCGCCACTTGAGGCCCTGTCTGGCGGCGAGAGTAAGGTTCGGGAGAGTATGTGGGATGGGGGGAAGATAGCAATACCGTGCGTACAGGCTGATGGTATGCAACACCACACCACCATGATTGGGCTAATAGATCAGGGGTTTAGGTGCGTATGGTAGCATCAACGTATTTCAGCACAAACCGAACCGTATGTCCATGAAAAGCATCTGGTGGAATTCTATAATCACCCCCAATTTAAGGATAATTTTGAAAGCATGTTCTAAAGCATGTTCTATTGTGAAGCAAGTTCTATTGTGCCTTGTTTAAACTTATGTAGCTCAGTACAGTGATCACAGAAATGATAAGTGTCATGTGGCAGTGAAGAATACTAAGAATACTAAGGCTCTTGAGCAGCTGCCTGCGACTATATGCCAGGAGATGCCGGGCTTACCTCTGTGCGTAGCGGCCCCTCCTCTTCGGCTTTTCCAGGCGCGGCAGCGGCAGTTGGCTGTAGAAAGCTCCAGGCACTGCGCCGCTTGGCTCGTGACGATGCCACCCTGGCCCGTTTCACATCCCTTCAGGGCCCGGGGGCTGGTGCATGGATTTCGGCGGTCCCGGCTCACTCAGATCTCACATTCACTGCGGCTGAGTGGGGCATTGCTGCTGCTATACGGCTCGGGCTCCCAATTCAGCAGCTGCAGGTGGCGGGGAGGTGTGTTTGTGGCACAGCGTATGTTGACCCAGCAGACCCGCATCATGCCCTGAGATGCAAGCACCAGCACGGTCCATCTCGGTTGCATGATGAGGTGAAGTTTGCGGTGGCGAGGATCTCTAAGGCGTCAGGAGGGGTGGTGACGATGGAGGATAGTGTGGTGCTGCCGGGGAAGCGGGTTGACGTAGCGGTGCGACGACCAATGGCCGGGGAGGCTCACGCTCTAGAGATCAGCGTCGCGGAACCGCTATCGCTGTGTCCATCTCTGCTAGGGCAGTGCGGGCATTCTATAGGTGTGGCGGCAAAGGAGTGGGAGCGTCGCAAAACGAGTGATTACGCGCCTCTGCTTGCACGCAACCGGGGCGTGCAGTTCACCCCTTTGATAGTAGAGACGTGGGGGTGTCTCGGCGGTCGTTTCCGGCGGTGGCTTCGACAGCAGGGGGACGCGCACGTGGGGCTAGCTGTGTCACGGGGGGCTTGTCGGGAGGATGACACTTCGTTTTCGGCTTATCTTTTGAGGTCTCTGAAGGCGCTCATCGGGGTGGCGTTACAACGGGCGCAAGCTCGTGTCATCCTGCTTCGGGCGGCGTCTTCCATGGGGGGGGATGAATGTGGATTTGGTGGACTGGGAGAGGGACGACGTCGAGGTGGAGGGCGGGGCTCTTTGGGTGGATGCACATATGTGACTGAGGAGGGGGTGAAATGGGGTGCGGGATGGGGTGTCTTGATGGGGTGTCCTGACTGGGTGTTTTGATTGTGTATCTTGATGGGGCTTTTTATGGGTGTTGCGTTTGGGATTTTTTGGCAGTTTTACTTTCCTTCTCCCTTTCCTTCTCCACCTCCCTTCTCCTTCATTTATGTCTCTCTTTCCCCTTTTCCTCTTTCTGTCTAGGATCATGTGATGTACGCTTATATAAGTTACCATTGTCCACTCCGGAACGCGTAAATAAACCGCCGAAGTGTTTACCAGGCTTGGCGAAATACTGAAAAGCCTTCAATTGACAACTTTTTGGTTTTCGCGAACACTCAACTCGTCGGCGAATTCAGTCTCGCCATTCAAACAGCTGGCTTTGTTGCTTGCATTATTCCTCTCGCCGCGTCGTGCGTGCTCTGATTGGCGTTCAAGCATTGCATCATTGGAATGAGAGAGGATTGGAGGACTTTCCTCATAATTCTGCATTATTGCGCCTCCCTCATTCAGTGCGATTCGCCGCGATGTGTGAGGTGAAGTGAAGGTGAGCGCACATAGCTCAGAACTACAAGAATTTCTACCATGTTTTTTTTTTTCTTCCGCACCGTGGCCTTGGTTGTACATTATACGATTTTGGTTAGTATTAGGGACTGAGATTTCACATAAAATGAGCCTTTCCGCAGTTCCTCTTCAGCTGTAAATCTAGAACCACTCTGTGCACGAATCGCCTTTGTTTATCACTCGAGCAGTTGTACATCAAACCCAAGCCAGAGAGCCATCCTCAGTATGTTGCTTGGATTTCTCCTCGCGCTGATCTTGTCTTGCGGACCGCGAGACAGCGAAGGAGCTGCAAGTCGAGGGCGACTTCTAGCCGATCATGCCGATCACGATCGACGTACGTTTGTTTCATGCCGCCACGGCGGGTCGAGTGTGTGATTTGGTGAAGTTGGAGGGGGGGGGGGGGATGAAATGGGGAGGGGAAATCGAAGCGTGCTTGGTGAAATTGTACTGTTTTTTCGTGTGTTCCCTGGGCGTCATCTCGTAGCACCTAATCTAATCGCTTTATCCACGACGCTCACCAGCCGCGTGCCTTCGAGATCTTCTTCCTATCTCAAGTTTCTCTCCTAACTTTCTCCCCATCACCCTCGAACAGCCGGATACGTTCACCAATTTTCGCCTGGCCATTCAGGCGACGCGCAAATTCCCATCATGCTCGTCGGAGAAGCTCCAGTGCAGCGCAAACTGCAGCAGCAGCCTGAGGGGAAGCAGATTGAGGCGCTGAGGCAGATCAGCAGACAGATGCTGACAACCCTGAAGCAGCAGCAACAGCGGAAGAAGAAGCAGGGGAAGAAGAAGAAGCAGAAGCAGTCTAGTCCTGCCATGCCCCCTCCTGAGAAGAAACAGCCTGACCCTATCATGCCCCCTGAAGAGATCGAGCAGCCTCCTACAAGGTGCTCCCTCTCCCTGTCTCTCTCTCTCTCTCTCTCTCTCTCTCTCTCTCTCTCTCTCTCTCTCTCTCTCTCTCTCTCTCTCTCTCTCTCTCTCTCTCTCTCTCTCTCTCTCTCTCTCTCTCCTCTCCTCTCTCCTCTCTCCTCTCTCCTCTCTCTGCATCGATCCTTCCTTCTATCTCTGCCTTTGTTTTTCTCTCCATGCATGACAGTCTGTAAATCGCTGATTTCTCCTTGTTTTCTTCCCACTTGCTCACTCCCTTACTTCGCAGCGAGTTTACCTTGCCCGACGTGGTGGGGTTGACGGGAGAGCAGGCACTCAAGAACATCCAGGCCGCTGTGCCGCCTTCATGGAGTGTTTGGATCATAGCGCCTGGGGATACCATTATCGCGGATCATCGGGAAAATCGCGTTAAGATTTTTGTGGATGAAGCTGGGATTGTTCGGGACACTCCCAGTGTTGGGTAGAAGCAGCCGTACCAGGCGAGTGTGTAGCAGGAAATTATTGACCTGCAGCGAGTCAAGGCAAGTTTTGACAAGAAAATGTGGAAGCGGTAGACGCGGGAGCAGCAAAGCGCAGAAAAGAATCTGGGTTATAGGGGAGCAGCAGATTCTGGAACAAGAAGATGAGTTTTTTTTTTTTCCGGGTTAGATCGTTTGTAAGATGCTGTGTATTTGTTTCTCCGATGCTGATTGTGTGCTTGTAAGATGCTGGGTTTCTTTTTGTATGATGCTGGACTTCTTTTTGCTTGTAAAATCTTGCATTTAGCTTCTACATGCTTGTACAGATGCTGGGTACGGTACTTGCTTCTATGCGACTAAACGATGCTGAGATGCTGGGAAATAGTATCCACGATGCTGAATGTGTGCTTGTAAGATGCTGGGTACCGTATTTGTTTGTATGATGCTGAATGTGAGCTTGTAAGATGTTGAAATTTTGTTTCTAAGTTGCTGGATGTGTGCTAGTAAGGTGATGGGAGATTGAGAGAGGGGCTGCTGGGAGCGGCAGGTAGAAGCAGCAGAAGCTCTAGAAGCATCAATTACAGCAGGAGAAATTTTGACAGCAGGAGCAGGAGAAGTTCAAGTATGAAGCAAGATGAAGAGGTGGAAAGGCAGGTATAGGAGAACACTAAGGTTTGGTCTATCTGTACAATGCATTACGATGGAAACCATGATCATACTACGTAGTCTCAATCCAGATAATTGGCAAGAGGCAAATTAGCGGGACGAAAAGTGAAAAAATGTGGGTCGAGGAAGGTGGGTGGCTTCAAGGAGACAGGGGCAGCCGATGGTAGGCACACCAACCATCTTCAAGTCCCACATCTTGCTGTTGAGGCTGCACACCAAACTCTAGGTGAAGCACGGATAAGTGCGTTGTTTGTTGGCTAACCATATAAATCCAACCCATGCACCTTTGACTTTCTCAAAGTACGCGACGATTCACGTGAGAAAAGCAGCGTGCGCTCACCCAACCTAGCTTCAATAACGTACTCTGTCGTTGTAACGAAGGTTGATGAACGTCCATAAGCGCTTAGATTGCACCTATTCCCAATTTCGATGATCTGGACGAAGCCATGTGTTTGTCTAATCAGGTTCTGGTTGTTGGGAAGAGAATGAGATGCTTAGCAGAATGACAAGAAACTGATGGTTTTCTTACTACATGTTACGGGTGCTATGTATCGAGGTAGCGAGGAGAGGGTAGTGGAAGGAGTTTTTTCGACATTCCTTACCGCGTGCTTCAACATCGCGTACAGGACCAACCGTTGTTCGCCCGTTGCTGCTAACGGGGCTTCGCCAACTTTCGCGCGCTGCATTTGCCAAACCATGCATCGCTGGACTGGCCGAGTCGGCCTACGCTTCGGGACTAGCCCGAACCTCGCTCCAGCTTCACACTAGCTAGCTCGCACGCACCGCGTTACCGTTTGCATGCTTCGCTATTTATGTTCGCTCACGCCTTTGCTCACAGCTTGTACTCGTTTGCCAACTTATCGCGGAAACCCCGGCTTCGCAGGTACACTTGCAGGGTAGGGTGGTTTTCGATGTTGGCCAGGAACACCCAGCTATCCTCCGTGGGGGTGCAATTCTTCCAGCGAACGAGGAACTCTCTTCTCCGAATTCCCGGGGGGTGGCGAATTCGATGGCTCATATATTTTTCGGGGTCGATGATCGGCTCCGATGTAGGGCGTGTCATCGATAGCGGGCCACGGTGTGGCAGTTGGCTTGTGGTGGCGATGTATGGGCGAAGCAGGCTGGCGTGGGACGACGGGTCGATGTACAAGTCGGTCGGTAGCAGGAGATGGGCGGTGACCGGTGTTATCATGTTCCTGATCTGGAATGGGCCACACTATCGCGGGTAGAGATTTGGTACGACGGGCAGGCGTAAGTTCTGCGTTCGAGCACTACATAGTCTCCTGACCGGTACGTCACAGGGCGGCGGTGGTGGTCGGCGTTCCTTTTAGCGATGACATTCGCTTTTTTTATTCCGCATGCTGCGCGCGTCCGGGCAGCTTGCACAATCTCGGCAAATTGCTGTGCGCGTGGTGTCGGGTTGTCCGGGCTCGGTGTCATGGGCACTGTGGGGTTTTGCCCGTAGTTAAGGTAAAATGGTGACTGCTGCGTCGTCGCTGACGTGGCGTTGCTGTAGGCGAACTCGATCAGCGGCAGCTGCTGCTCCCAGGTTGTCGGGTCGTCGCACGTGGCACGAATCAGCTGCTCCATGGTCTGGTTCGTCCGCTCCGTCAGACCGTCGGTCTCAGGGTGGTACGACGAACTGAACTGTAGCCAGATCCCATACTGCTCCATGAGATTTTCCAGAAATTGTTGGTAAACTTCGTGTCGCAGTCGCTGATAATCACGGCTGGTATCCCGTGCAGGCGAGCGACGATCACGATGAACAGACGAGCGGTATCTTCGGCTGAGATCGAATTCATCCACGCAGCGAAATGGGCCATTTTTGTCAGTCGGTCAACGACAACCATGACCGCGTCGTTACCACCAGGGCTCGAAGGTAACCCTGTGACGAAATCCATTGTAACCTACTGCCAGGCGCGCTCGGGCGGCGGAATCGGCTGCAGTTGACCCACCTTTTTCTTGCGCGAGCTCTTCGTCACCTGACACGTGGGGCACGATCCCATGTGGTGCTGTACGTCGGTCAACAGCTTCGGCCAGTAGCAGTACCACTGCAGTTGCTGTCGCGTCTTCTCTACCCCGAAGTGACCCGAGGTAACCCCGACGTGTGCCTCCTGCAGTAGCAGTTCCCTTAATAGTGAATATGCTGGTACCGAGATGTGGTTTGTGCCAGTGCTTACGTAATAGACTCCCTTAGCTTCTGTCAACTGCTGCGAATTTCACGTGGTGAAGAATGGGTCGGTGCGATATCCGTGGGTGAATAGGCCTGTTAACAGTGGGTTGGTTTGGGCGAGTAGGATGGCGTGAAGTTGGGCAGTGGGGCGAGTGAGGGCGTCAGCGATATTCGATGCCCCCTTTTTGTACGTGACGGTGTAGTGACGATTGGACTCCAAATAGTCCTACCATCGTATCTGTCGTGGATTGAGGTTTGGTTGGGCGCGGAGGTACTAAAGGTAGCACCGCCACACCTTGAACTCGTGCACGATCGCCAGCATCTTGCTGTCGTGTATCGGGTAGTTGCGTTCGGGCGGGTGAAGTTTGCGGGACTCGTACGCGATTGGCTGAAGGCCGTTCCCGAAGTCTTGCAACAGTACTACTCCCACAGCGATGTCACTTGCGTCGGTGACTAGTTCGAACGGGCGGTGTAGATCAGTGATGTGAAGCACGGGCGGCGAGCACAAAATATTTTTGAGTGCCGAGAAGGCAGCTTGCTCTTTCTCCCCCCACGTATACTCAACCCTCTTCCTCGGCAGGTTGTTCAACGGGGCAGTCAACCGCGCCATGTCGGGGACGAACCGTCGCACGTAGTTGACAAACCCCAGTAAACTCTGCAACTCGGTCAAGTTGGTTGGTGCGTGCCATACTTGAATCGCTGCAATTTTCTTCGGGTCTGTCGCCACTCCGTCAACTGAAATAACGTGCCCTAAAAACTCCAATCTGTTATGTAAAAACTCACACTTAGAGGCTTTGGTCAGTAAGCAGTTCTCACTCAATATTTTAAAAACTGCTTCGATGTCCCGTAGATGCTGTGCTCTATCTGGGCTGTAGATCACTATATCGTCTAAGTAGACGATTACGCACTTATCTAAGAATGGGCGGAAACCTTCCTTCATGGTCATTTGAAAAGTGGCGGGGGCGTTGGTCAGTCCAAAGGGCATGACGGTGTATTCGAATGATCCGTAACGGGTGCGGAAGGCGGTTTCGGGCAGTCGGGTGGGTTGACGCGTATCTGATGGTAACCCCCTCGAAGATCGATCTTCGAGAAGACGCGAGCTGTGCGAAGCTGGTCGATGAGTTCGTCGGCTCGCGGGATGGGGTAACGGGAATTGATCGTAACCCTGTTCAGTGCGCGGTAATATATGCACATGCAAAATCCCCCTCTTTTTTCGGTGTGAACAGTTCCGGTGCTGCGAAAGGTGACGAACTCGAACGAATGAATTTCTTCTTGAGCAGGTAATCCAGCTGCTTCCACAGTTTGTCTAGTTCGGGTTGGGTCAGTCGGAATTGTCGCTGTACTGTTGGCTGTGACCCCAGCTCTAACTCTATCCTGTGGTTGTGCGGTCGCTGAGGTGGCAGTCCCTCCGGCAAGTCGTCCGGAAAAATCCCGCTGTACTGCTTCAGAAGTGCTGCCAAGTAATCCGGTACGTCGGCGAGCAGTTTCTGCAAATCGCTAGGTTTGTCTGCTGCATCGGCTTCCCAAATGTCAATTGCGTACATGTCAGCTCCTGCCGCTACGGCACGTTTCATTGTGATCGCGTTGACACAAACCGAGGAAGACTCAGGCGAGCTCTAGCGAGGTAAGGCGATGTTGTTACTGTTGAGTCGCACAGTGCAATCGCCCGTCGTCCAGTCTATGCGCGGGTTGTGTCATCGTCGTCCAATCACGACCGAGTAAAATATCGGTCCTGTCGAGGGTCGTCGCCAGCATTTCCTGGGTGAAGGTGAAGTTACCCCCGGAGCGGATTCGAACTCTCTCCACGCGTTCCCGTATTGCCAGTGGCGTGTCGTCGACCAGTCGTGCATCGATCTCAGCTAAGCACCGGTCCAATGTCAGTTAAAGTCTCCGTGCTGTGGCAGTATTTGTTAAGTTGTGGCTAGCCCCCCCGTCTACGAAGATTTTAACTAAGTCGGTGTGGATTTTCCCGCTAATCAGTATGGGACTATCTACCGTTGAACCCTCCTTGTTCAGCCAAGTGTGGTCAACTGCATGAATCGGCACAGTCACTCGGTGAGAGTCGGTTGGGTCGGGCGAGCGGCGTGACCTGTCAGTAGCGGGCCCGTCTGCTACTGACTCCCAGCGTTTCCCAGCTGCTTGGTATGTTTCTGCTGCTCGGCTCCCTCCTTTCCCTTAGCGTTTTCCGGGCATTCGTGTCAGAATATTATGCTCTAGCCTGTAGTGGGGTGCTCTATAGCGAGTACAACCCTTCTAGGGTTTGCTATTTGTATCCTCATTCTTGCTAGTGCATCCCCTCTTCTTCCTACTATTTTCACATGCTATCAGAGCAGGTCGATCCCCTTGGATCGATCCTGTGGGTGGGCTCACCACCTCGTTGCTTCCGCTGCAACTTCCACTACTACCTTCTGTGCCGCACGCCCCGTGGCGTGCGGCAGTTTTTCTTCCCGCCGTGCGCCCCGAGGCGCGCGGCGGTTTTCTGCCCGCCGTGCGCCCCGTGGCGCGCGGCGGTTCTCTGCCCGCTGTGCGCCCCGAGGCGCGCGGCGGGCTTCTACCCCGTCACTCGCCGCGTCGCCCTCGGGAGGCGCTGCGACGGGCGACGGGGACCCGCGCGTCGCCCCCCGTCGCCCGTCGTGGCCTGCGCGCGGCCCGTACAGCCGGCGCGCGGCCCGTACGGGCTGCGCCAGGCCTGCGCGCGGCCCGTACGGGCTGCGCCAGACCCGCGCGCGGCCCGTACGGGCTGCGCCAGGCCCGCGCGCGGCCCGTACGGGCTGCGCCAGGCCCGCGCGCGGCTCGGGCCGCCTGCGCGCGGTTCGGGAGGCTGTGCCAGGCCCGTGGGCGGCCCTTTCCTCGCTGCCCCTGCCCTCCCCGCTGTCCCCCGTGCTTCTGCTGGCGCCCCACCCCTCCTACAGCCCGTTCTCCTGAATTAGGGTTTGGGGGTGAGGGGTATGGGGGTGAAACTACTGTGTGCCGTTCCCTGCTCCTCCTCCTCCTCCGTCTCCCTGTGCTGCAGCTGCCGCTGAGGGGGGGTGGACTTGTTGGAGCCGTTGGAGTGGTGCTAAGGGGGGGTGAAGGGGGAGTGGAGCTAGCGGTGTAGCAGCGGGTGTGTGTCAGGAGGGGTGGTACTGTTTGGGGGAGGTCGAGTGGAGGCAGCAGTCTTGTCGTCAGCAGCAGCAGCAGTCCGGAGGCTACAATCTCCGGTAGTCGCCAGTCGCCCGTGGGTCCGTTGCTCGTCTGCCGCTACTTTTAGCCGCGGGGCCAGTTACCCCAGTAGTCCGGAGCGTTGTTCCGGTAGCCACTGAGCCAGCAGCTCGTCTGTGTGTCTGCAGCGTCAGCAGTCGCCTCCCATCTTCTCTCCCCCACAGTCTCTCCTCCTCCTCACTTGCCCTCTGCGATAGCCTCTAGCTTTGCTCATAATTGTGAACTTAAAACTATTGCTTCTTGAACTTGTGCTCAGAATGTGTGGTGACATTGTGATCCACCCTGAGCTTGTACTGCTGTGCTTGCTCTGCTGATTACACCCCACTTTGGCTATGGGGGTGTGTCAGAATATTATGCTCTAGCCTGTAGTGGGGTGCTCTATAGCGAGTACAACCCTTCTAGGGTTTGCTATTTGTATCCTCATTCTTGCTAGTGCATCCCCTCTTCTTCCTACTATTTTCACAATTCGCTCTTATGGTGCCCCGACCGATTGCACGCGAAGCAGCGCCCTTTAAATGGTGCGGCAGCAGCATTCGCGGCAACGGCGTGTACCGTGGCGTGCTCGTTCGTCCCACGAGTCCGGTGGCCCCAATTGCTGTTGTTGTTGTAGGACCCCGTCCTCGGTCGGTGGAGAAAATCGAGTTTCTCGACCATGGCGATAATTTTGTTGAATTCCGTGAAGCCGCAGAGCAGGATTTCTTGCGCGATTTCGTTATTTAGGCTCAGCTTCATGCATGTAGCCCACCTGCTCACACAATGCCAGGAACCCGCTAGTGTAGTCTTGGACGGAACCGAGCTGGCGCCAAGTGCGGAGCTTCTGACGCGCTGAAATCGACGCCGCAATTGGCTCGAATCTCCAGCGTAAACCTGTGCACTACGCGTCCCACGTGCGATAATGGGCTATTTCCACGAGTACGATGGCGCCCAGTGTCCAGTTGGTCCTTCCCGTGGCGGTAGAGTCTCGTAGTCGCTCGGCTTCGTGACGATGACGCGCCACCAATCCATGGCGGGTCCTCGCAGTAACGACACGGCGTAACGAATTTTCGCCGCGTCCGACGAGACGTAATTGGCGTCGAAGAACAGGTTCATCGCGAACAGCCACGCCTGAACCGTCGGACCACCCCGTTGACTCGGATCGAAGCACGGCGGACGCTCCGGCTTGAGCAGCATCTTTGAAGGTAGTGCCGAGTCTTACTTTGGCGCCGCAATGTTGACGCGGCATTGACTCCCAGTCGCATTCGTCGCTCCGTGGTGTGTCGTTCCGTGGTCGTCGCGAACGTCGTTGCGTGCGACGCCATCACTACCAGCGCTCGAGGGTTGTCCCACGCTCCCGTGCTGAGATGCGGATGGTGCTGCTTGTGCATGCGTTCCTTGAGTCTGTGTTTGCTGCGCCCGTGCAATGTCGTTTTGCAGTGACGTGCGTTATGCCGTTAGCGCGGCAATTTCTTCGCTGCTTTCGCGCAGTTGGCGTGTCAGCTCGTAAAGGTGCTCATGCATGAGGCTCACAAGGTCGATGCGTTCTGCCATGTCGAGGGACGTCGGCCGGTCTTGGTGTTAGGCGCAGTCGTGGCTGCACGCGCTTACGAGAGAGCGAGAGGACAGCGGCTCCTAGTACGCTAAGGGGCATGAGTCGCTTCGAGTGAAAAAATCAAAAGTTGAGTTCTGGTGGTTGCGGAAAACGCGTGGTCCGAAAGGAATGTGACTATGATACCAAATGTTACGGGTGCACGTATCGAGGTAGCGAGGATTGCACTAAATTGGCAAACGAGTACAAGCTGTGAGTGAAGGCGTGAGCGAACATAAATAGCGAAGCATGCAAACGGTAATGCGGTGCGTGTGAGCTAGCTAGTGCGAAGCTGGCGCGAGGTTCGGGCTAGTCCCGAAGCGTAGGCCGACTCGACCAATCCAGCGATGCATGGTTTGGCAAATGCAGCGCGCGAAAGTTGGCGAAGCCCCGGTAGCAGCAACGCGCGAACAACGGTTGGTCCTGTACGCGATGTTGAAGCACGCGGTAAGGAATGTCAAAAAAATCCTTACACTACATAAGACAGACAATCATTGTTCTTGAAGTGTAACAGGTGCCTGTCGCCAAGCCTGTCAAAATCGCTCGCATGCAATATATTTGAGTTTGGCGGTTGCAGTGCGCCCGCGCATTCAGCGGTTCGCCAGTTGCGAGCAATCACACGAACCATGGCGAATCTCGTCTAGTCGCTCAATACGACATTCGCCGCATCGTGGTTGCTGCTGTTGATTTGGCGCTCGCGCAATGCATTATTGCACTTGCATTATAGATTGGGCTGGGATGAAGAGTTGGGTTGGGTTGCTTGCCTTTCTCGCCATCCTACCGTTGCTTGCTGTGAGAAATATTTTCCGCACATACATAGATGGCGGTGTGTAATCCAGATTCCAGATTGGCTTGGCAACAACTCAAGCGTGGTAGTTTCATCCTCATTTTACCTCCTCTCAGTCCATGTTCCGAATTCGTAGCTTCTGAATCCTCCGTCGAACCAATTTTCTCCACTGAATAAGCTGCCGTATAACTGATCCCAAGGAGAGAAATTCGTCATCATGTTGCTGAGGTTCCTTCTCGTGCTGGCCTTATCGTACGGGCTGCGGGGCAGCGAAGGAGCTCGAGGAGGGGGACTTGCAGCCAATCGTGATCCGAGAAATCGACGTAAGACACATTCTTACTGCCGAGGCTTTGTGCGGGGAAATGATAAGGGAAAGGCGAAGAGCGAATCAGCGATGGAGTTTCTGTAATATTCCTTGCACTGAATGAACTTCGTTCGCCGACGTATAGTGCCCGATTCTGGTGTCATTTTTAGCGCCTCTCTACGTATACCTTCCTATCACCTGCTAAACTTTCTCCCGTAATTGTTAACGTGTGTCCCTAGAGCAGTAGTGCTCATGAGACAAACCAAGGCATCGCTCCGTAATAACACTCGTGATTTCCTATGCAAACTCATGCTATTTCCTCCAAAAAGTCAGATCTGACTGTCAGAAACCACCTGTTCAGCACTCTTTCCCATCCCCGTCTGTCTCCTCACCCTCCCAAACTGTACCCGTTACAGTCGGATCCATAGACCAGGCTTCGTTCGGGGACTCGCTTCTTGCGTTCGGCGAAGAGTCTGGCCACTCCGGCGACACGCGCAACCTCTTGCTCGCCCAAGATGCGACACCACAGCGTGAATTGCATTCTCTGGGGGAGGAGCAGCGGCAGGTGCTGCTGGAGACGGTGCGGATCTATACGGAGCCATCACAAGGAGCAATGCTGGAAGCCCGCGAAGCGAAGCTGCAGGAGAAGCTGACGCAGCAGCAGGAGAAGGAAATGCTTGAGAAGGAGCGGCCAGAGTTGAAGCAGCAGCGGCTGCAGAAGGAGAGGGAGATGAGCCGGCTCCAAGTGGATGTTTCAGTCAAGGCCTATCGGGAATACCAGGAAAGGACGCGCCAGGAGGAGTTGTACATGCCGCAGGAGCGGCAGGCGCAGCGGGGACGAAGCATGGTGACCTGCGTCCGGCAGGAAAAAACTTGCACCGCGGGCATGTGTAAAAATGGGGAGACGTGCAAGCCTATGAACACGTGCAGGGGATATATTTGCCTGGTAGATCGTTCTAATCTGCAGACTAAGACGCCCAGGACAAAAGTGGATAAGATCAGTAAGAGCCCCGCACAGGGATCGTTGGCTCCGGAAGAAGAGGACGATTGGAAAGCCTGTGGAGGAGAGTGATAAGGGAAAGAGGAGCAATGGGAAGGTACTATGGCAGTCAAGCCCATAGGGGCGCTTCGTTGGGAGTGTGAAAACGAGTGTTTGTGGTACGGGACAAGGGGGGGACACATGAAGGGGGGTTGGGTTAGGGCGGGTCATGGCTAAACGTACCTGGTTCGTTTAATGCGGTCCAGTGCGTTAGAAACAGGTTGAAGGCGATTCTGAGTTTCCACCTATGCGAACCGTTTTTCATATCGTTTTGACGTATTTGACCGGATTAAAAGAACCAGGATTATATAAAGGTGACCTGCCCTTAGGTTAGGTGGTTTGTTTGCATTTGTAATTTGAGGTTTGCTGACACTGGATTTGTGTTGTATCACAGTTTATTCGACGTCAGGTTGTACAGTTCTTGTATTGTGGCTCAGGACGGTTCCCCACGGTGGAAAGCGGTAACCCACGTTCACTGTTTTGCACCGTGGCGAAACTATAAGTTGACCGCACTGAGCGTGCAGAAAGTTGTACAACCGGAAGTCGCCCTCATGTGAAGCTATTTCGCAGTTGCAGTCCGCACAAGACACCTTCCACATTTTCGTTTGCTCGTGAAAGTTGTTCCAGCAGCACGAGCATTCACGAGCAGAAACATTAAAACGGGAAACAAAGTTACAGAATATTGCTAAAGCATTAATAGCAAGCGAGTACATGTTTTACTGAAAATTGTGCTGTGTTGCGGGAGAGTGAGGGACTGTAAAAGGCGTATTGACGAAAAAACGCTGTCAATGATCGTAACCAGGTCACAAAGTCCGCTCTGAAACGCGTTTGGAGCAACAAGGATTGTGAGGTGAAACCAGTGTCCCTCTCGTGAACAATACGTTGGCGAACTCTACGTGAAACTCTGCACAGCGTCTTCCATAATTTATTCTGCCGCGTAGCATGTGCTGGATTCGTGCCCCAACATTGCATTGTTGGAATTGGGAAGAGAATGGCAGAAAGTTCTCCTATTTGTTTTTTCGGTTTTTCTCTGTCGACTTTTGCTAGCGATTCGCCCGCGGGTGCATGTATTTAATAACATGTTACCTACGTAACTAATGTACCAAATACAAAAGTAAGATCTGTAGTTTTATGTCGGCATGCTCGTTTTCGTGAGAATTTCACGACCAAAAAGAACTTTAGTAACGAGAAATGTCAAAGAGTGAAATGCTACTGTCAAAAGACTGTTGTAAATTTACGGCATAAGTATTTTCTGCGACCCACGTGGGAGAAAAGAAAGAATCACCAAGGAAGTACATTTTTGCAGCACCAAGCAAAGCGAGATTCAGTCGACTCTATAAGGTTCCGAACCTGAAATTCGTAGATATTTTAATTGGTTACAAATCACGTTGCAGATCCAGCGGAGCGTGGGGCAAGCACAGTGTTTTCGAGAAGCGAGCGTATGACACTCTTAAATACCCAGACATTTAGGGTTTGTTGCACATAGCACCACGAAAAACCTATTGCGAGTTTGCCCGCATATCGGACGAAGAGGGGAAAAGCTTGACTTTTGGGCGAAAGATAGCGTAGTGGTCGAAGACAAAAGAACCCTGAATTACATTGTTTGAGCATTTCAACCGTAGAATCGAATTATTGGGCCTCCCAATAATTCACGAAGCGCGACTAGATTTGGGCTGAATGAAAGTTGAGCGCGCTTCCGCTTCCATTGTCGAAACTCCTCCTAAGTCTTCAGCATAAAATTCCAGCCCTTAGGGCGTGTCCAGCGCGTACATTTTGGGAATATTAGTACCTTCACACGTTTCCCGGCTCAAAAAATCTCACTGTACCAAAAAACGAATATAAGGTGAGTCGAGTCCGAAGGATTGGGCCTTCCAGCGCGCGGACACAACCCTCTGCACACAAATTTCTACAGTTCGTGGAAAACGAGGTAACTGGTTGCCTCGTCTATCATCGCACAGAAATTCACGCACAAGCGAAAATTCCACGCTTGAACGAAAATTACTGTAGCGGGCAGGACGCAATGCTGTACCCTTGTTCGCGCGCACACTGATTCCAGTAACGTGTGTTAGACGATTCGTCGTACGCGCAGCGGGCGTGCCGTTTTGTGAACGGAAGCTGATCGTGTCCAACCTTTTTGTAAAATGCAGTGTTACAATAGGAAATGTGGTAACTGAATGGGTTTATGAACTGTAAATGTACGCGCTGGACACGCCCTTACTGAGCTTCCATCAGTTGTACCGAGCTTCCACCTTTCCACACTTGTACAGCTGCACTGACACCGAGCTAGTGAGGTTTGTCAGTATGATGTTGGTGGGATTCCTCCTCGTGCTGGTCTTCTCTTACGGGCCGCTGGGCAGCCAAGGATTGCGGCCATTGTACGACGGGATGACGGCGGCGGACTTGGAGCAGTTGTACGAGGAGATGGCGCAGGAGGAGCTGACGCATCCGTTGGTGACGAGGACGGAAGACGGTGAAGTGGTGGCGACGCCGCCGTATGTGGCGACGCCGCCGTACGTGGTGGCGAAGCCAGTGAAGCAGCCGGACGTGGCGGCGAAGCAGCCGGACGTGGCGACGAAGCAGCCGGACGTGGCGACGAAGCAGCCGGACGTGGCGACGAAGCAGCCGGACGTGGCGACGAAGCAGCCGGACGTGACGAAGGCGCAGGAGGAGCTGAAGCGGGTTCAAGCGGAGGTGTCAAACAAGATCACGTTGGCATACCAGGAGAAACAGCGGCAGGAAGAGCTGCAGAAGCAAGAGAGGCTGAAGCAGCAGTATCAGCAGGAACAGGAACGGTTGAAGAAGCTGCAGCAAGAATTCCAGGAGAGGCTGAAGAAGCTTCAGCAGCAGCGGCCGTGACAGCGGGGACGGATGCGATGCGTCGGCCAGGAAAAAGATTGCACCCCGGGCATGTGTAAGGATGGGGATTTACCTGGCGGACAGCTCTAAATCTGCAGACTAAGAAACCCAGGAAGAAGCTGGATAAGATCAGTAGTAAGAGCCCTGAGCAGGGGTCTCTGTCTCTGGAAGAGGAGAAGAGGACGATCGGAAAGCCCGTGGAGGAGAGCGATGCGGGAAAGAGGAGCAATGGGAAGGGTAAATGGCAATCAAGCCCATAAGCACGCTTGCAGGAAGTGTGAAAATGATTGTGTGGCAATAGGGAAAGGGGGAAATGGGGAAAGGGGGTTAGGTTAGGTGGTTTGTTTGCAGTTGTAATATTTGTTTTGAAGTTTGCTGACAAGCAATTTGTGTTGTACCACTTTGTGTTGTACCACTTTGTATCGTTCTCATCTATAAATGTAACGAGGATCTTTGGGTGTTCTTTCGCCCAAGACGAACTTCTCCACATTGACTTTCGCCCGCGAAAGTTGCTCCAGCAGCACCAGCATTCACGAACAGAAACATTCCTGAACTCCACGAAAATTCTCTACAGAATTTGGCGAAGTACTAGCCCAAGACACATCGCTAACGAAACATTCCTGAACTCCACGAAAAAGGCGCGATTTCTGCCTCCCATCCCAACCAAGCCCCCTCGCTCCATCCACAAAACAGATCCCAAATTACCAAAACAGAAATCAGAATTGCATTTACTCTCAACTCATTGCTCTTTGCTGTATCCCTCCCAGCATCTCGCTCCTCTCTGGCCCTCGGACGGTAACTCGCACTTGCTGTTATTTTTTTCGGCTGGAGTATCCGATCTGCGAGTGATTATAACGCGGACAAGCTTTTACGCGAGCCGAGAATCATGTCGGCGAAGCTGCTGCCAGTGGGTGAGGTGGTAACCCGACTGAACCTGCAGCCGCACCCGGAGGGAGGATTTTACGCGGAGACGTTCCGCGACACGCGCGTGCAGCTATCCCTGGAAAACCTGCCTCCGGGCGAAGGATGTAAGAGATAGCGAGGTGGTAACACTGTAACATTGGAGACGTTCCGCGAACTCGCGAGTGGACGAAGGATATACGAACTGACGAGATGGTAACCCGACTGAGCCTGCAGTCGCACACGGGTCCAGTCATCCTTGGGAACCCTACCCCTGGGCGAAGGATGTACGAGCTGTCGCGTTGTAACACTGTAGCTCGGTTTACATTGTCGCATGGTAACACTGACGCAGAGTATCGCTGACATAAGGCAATCTAAAGTGTACGAAATTCGTGACATTGTGGTAACCCGCTCGTTCCAGAGAAAGGGTGATTTTTGCAAGTAGAGAGTGTCACATTGAATCGGGATGATGTCCTGGCTGGCCTACACGGTCTCATATTACAGTGGCTTTTGAGCCAACTCAAAGGTCACCTCGTGACTTGAAGTATGTTGAAAATTGTCTTCGACTCAAAAATCAAATTGTCTTTGCACATTGTGTTGACCGACACTCTCGCATCTTACAGTGGCGTATCATCATCATATTGGCTTGCATCTCGCCCCTCTCCACCTTTCTTTTTCCACCACATCATCAAGCCCAACGTTTGGTCCCTTCCTTTCCTTGTCCCTCCCTACCTCTCCTCCATTCCCTTCCAGATTGTGGAGATTGAAGACGATGGGACGATTCGTAAGACCACCATCGGCCCGGACCTAGCAGCCGGCCAATCCTTCCACCACACCATCAAACCCAACGTCTGGTTCGGGGCGTTCCCCACCCTTGATTTCGACGCTGATCTGAACCGGACGGCTCGAGATGCGGGTTCAGCAGATACGCAGTACAGTCTGGTTGGATGCACTGTAGCGCCTGCTTTTGAGTTTGCAGATTTCGAGTTGGCTAATAGGGCGGATCTGGTGGCCAAGTTTCCCCATTTAGCCGACATAATCACTATTTTGACCAGTCCATAGAGTACACTAATGTATTTGACATTGTACTTTGTATAAGATATATACGTGCATGCTGTAGGATCATTCACTGCTGTACAGAGTGAGATATGTCAGTAAATTGTGCTTCCCCGAGTCCCCGACAGTAGCTGCTCTACAATATGGCTGCGAGAAAATGGTGCAGGGTCGGGTTGGGGGCAAGGGGATGAATGAAGGGACGGGGAGAACGAGTGTGAGGTTCTGTTGAGAGATGGCTCAATACTTGATGCTTATCATGCAGTTTCAATGCCTAGAAGGAATTATGAAGCTTGCGAGACAATGGTGAACGGTGGGAGTAACAGATGATAAGCGCTTATGAGTGGAATGCAGAGGACGGAATAAGGGAGGAGAGAAGGGAGGGGAGAGCGGAGAGCACTGGAAGGAATATAGGAAGAGAAACGGGAGGGGAGAGGAGAGCATTGGAAGGAAAACAGGAGGAGAGAGGGGAGGGGAGAGGAGAACAATGGATGGAGGGTGAAAAATGGATGGAGGGTGGGAAATGGATGAGGGGTATGATGAGGGGGGTGAAGGAGTGGACTGGAGAGGAAAGGTAGGGTTTAGGGTACGAGAGGATCCTTTAGGTGCCTCAAGTGGACTAGAGGGGAGGAGAGAGGTAAGAGGACTGGTGTGTCTTTGTTCACCTGTCCGCTATGCTCCTCCCCACCACCATCTCCTTGGCTTTTGAGTCGACTCAAAAGTCAACTCGCTACAATGTCACATAGAGGGGAGGAGAGAGGTAAGAGGACTGGTGTGTCTTTGTTCACCTGTCCGCTATGCTCCGCCCCACCACCATCGCCTTGGCGCTCAGAAACGCCAGCCGGTGTCCGCCTGACTGTGGCTGTGGTGCCCTCACCACCACCCTGTGTAGCACCAAACCTTACTGCAAACCTTCATACGGTATCCCACTCAGCTCAGTGCTCACCTGTCTGCTATGCTCCTCCCCACCACCATCGCCTTGGCGCTCAGAAACGCCAGCCGGTGTCCGCCTGACTGTGGCTGTGGTGCCCTCACCACCACCCTGTGTAGCACCAAACCTTACTGCAAACCTTCATACGGTATCCCACTCAGCTCAGTGCTCACCTGTCTGCTATGCTCCTCCCCACCACCATCGCCTTGGCACTCAGAAACGCCAGCCTGTGTCCGCTTGTCCGTGGCTGTAGCTGTGGCGCCCGCACCACCACCTTCTGCTGATTGTCTCCCACACTCTCTTTGAATACTGTGATCTTGCACTCTTCTTCAGGCACCCTTTGCGTCTCTTCCCCAACAACCCTCTGCTGATTGGCCCCCACACCCGCTCTTGATACTGTGATCTTGCACTCTTCTTCAGGCACCCTTAGATTTCCGCTCTCATGCCCGCCTGCTTGCAAGTATGGCGCCCGCACCACCACCCTCTGTTGATTGCCCTTCACACTCGCTGTTGATACTGTGATCTTGCACTCTTCTTCAGGCATCATGTCTTGTTGCTCATTTGCGTCGTTTTGCCTGCTGTCCGCCCTTTCCCCTGTTTCCAGCAACAGCAGCAGCTCCAGCCCATCTATTCCCCCCAACCCTTCCTTCTCTGCTTGCTTCCCCAAGACTTCAGCATTTTCAACACGAGCAGCAGCAGCAGCAGAACCAGCAGCACCACTGGTAGAACCAGCAGCAGCAGCACCACTGGTAGAACCAGCAGCAGCAGCAGCACCACCACCACCAGCAGAACCAGCAGCAGCAGGGGCAGGGGGGAGTGAGCAGACGTGCAGGTTGAGAATGGAGTGTGAGAGGCTGTGCCATGCAGTCAGCAGCACACGGTGATCCACATCCCTGTGTGTGGGTGAGAGGGGTTTGAGAGTGGATGGAGCGTGGTTGTGAGTGGTACGTGGGTGTGAGCGACACCAGTAACTTGTGAGAATGGAGTGTGCGAGGTTGTGCCATGCAGTCAGCAGCACAGGGCGATCCACATCCCTGTGTGGGAATAAATGGGACAAGGAGAGGAGTGTAAGGGGTATGTGGGTGTGAGTGGTACAGGTGGTGTCTGAGAATGGAGTGTGAGGGGCTGTGCCATGCAGTCAGCAGCACACGGCAATCCACATTCCTGCATGTAAAGGAAAGGGGAGAGAAGTGAGGATGGGCGGTGGCTGTGAGTGATGGCGGTGGCTGTGAGTGATGTAGGTGGCTTTTAGGAACGGAGTGTGCGAGGCTGTGCCAAGCAGTCAGCAGCACACGGCGATCCACATCCCTGTGTGCGAAGGAAGGGGTTGAGGAGAGGAGTGTGGATGGGGGTGAGAGCGGATAGGGGGTGAGAGTGGATGGGCGTGGGAGTGACGGGTGGGACTCGTAAGGAAGTGTAGGGTGTGTGTGAGTGTGTGCACATGGGGATAAAAGGTGTGTGCATAAGGGTGTGAGAGAAACCTGCATACACCCATCGGGTCATGCACACCCTTGTTAGACTCGTGTTGACTTGTGTTGACTTTTGTTGACTTGTGTTGACTCACGTTGACTCACCTGGGAGCAGCCCAGCACCCATCCAGGCGGGCCGCAGGTGGGGCACAGCAGCCAGGGAGGTGACTCGGTGGAAGGGGTGGGCTTGACTCCGTTGACCTGCTTAAATCCATTGACTCGTGTTGACTCACCAGAGGGCACCAGAGCCAATTTTTGAGTCGACTAAAAAATAAATCTATTGACTCGTGTTGACTCACCAGAGGGCACCAGAGCCGCCGTGGGAGCACCCCCGCACCCATCCAGGCCAGTGGGGGCCTGGGGCACAGCAGCCAGGGAGATGACTGGGCGGAAGGGGTGGGTTTGATTGCATTGACCCGTGTTGACTCGTGTTGACTCGTGTTGACCGGTGATTACTTGTGTTTCCTTACCAGGGGGCAACTGAGCCGCCATGCGAGCACCTCAGCACCCATCCAGGCCAGCAGGCAGGGCTCAGCGGCCAGGGAGATGACTCAGTGGAAGGGGTAGGCTTGACCGCATTGACTCCTGTTGACTCCTGTTGATTTATGTTGACTCGTGCTGACCCTTTTTGACTCACCAGAGGGCAACAGAGCCACCGTGGGAGCAGCCCAGCACCCATCCAGGTCGGTGGGGCACAGCAGCCAGCGAGATGACTCGGTGAAAAGGGAGTGGGTGAATGTGCTTGGCCCTTTTTGACTCGTGTTAACTCACCAAAGAGCAACTGATCCGCCATGGGAGCAGCCCAGCACCCATCCAGGTCGGTGGGGCACAGCAGCCAGCGAGATGACTCCGTGGAACGGATGGGCTCTGTAGCAGGCCGGGGGGAGGTGGTATCTGGCGAGGGGTGACCTGTGACAGGTGATACACACAGGCAGGGTGTGGGGAACGAGTGTGTGTTGGGGCACAGCAGCCAGGGAGATGACTCGGTGGAAGGGGTGGGTTCTGTAGCAGGCCGGGTGGAGGTGGTACCAGACCAGGGGTGACCTGTGGCACAACAGAAGGGAGTCACAACAAAGCACACAACTTAAAAGCACACAACAACACAGCGAAATGTAGGGTACATTGGGGAATGGGTGTGGGGAGGAAACAGCCAGGGAGATGACTCGGTGGAAGGGGTGGGTTCTGTAGCAGGCTGGGGGGAGGTGGTATCTGGCGAGGGGTGACCTGTGAAAGGTGACACACACAGACAGGGTATGGGCAATGAGTGTGTGTTGGGGAGCACAGCAGCCAGGGAGATGACTCGGTGGAAGGGGTGGGTTCTGTAGCAGGCCGGGTGGAGGTGGTACCAGGCCAGGGGCGACGTGTCACACAAGGTGTGGGGAGAGTGAAAGCACACAGTTTAGACGTGTAACAGGTCGCGACCTGTTACAAAATACAGCTAAATGTACAGTACAATGGGGGACGAGTGTGTGTGAGGGGCTCACCTCCCTTCTCCTCTCACTTCCCCTCGCATCCTCTCACCACCCATGCCTGTCCATCTCCCAGCAGCACGTAGCACCACCATCCCCTATGTGTACCTACCCTCAGCTCACCTATCCCCACCTAACCCCACCCCACCTAACCCCACCCCACCTACCCCCACCTACCCCCACCTACCCCCACCTACCCCCACCTACCCCCACTTACCTCCACCAACACCCGCCTGACCCCAACCTCCCTGTATGTGTCCCTCTCACCTCCCATGCCTGTCCATCTCCCAGCAGCACGCAGCACCACCATCCCCTGCTGCCATCACCAACCACTCTCACCCCCACCTTCTCTGTAATACCCAATGTACATCACCCCTCACCGCCCCTCTCACCTCCCATGCCTGTCCATCACCCAGCAGCACGCAGCACCACCATCCCCTGCTGCCACCACCACCCACTCTCCTCCCCCCTCCATGCCTCCTCCCTCCATGCCTCCTCCTCCCCTGTCCTTCTCTTCCCCCCACTCTTCTCCTCTTCGGCACCCCTCCTATCCTCATTCCTACCCCTCCTCACCACCACCACAGCCCACATTTGTGGGCAGTTCAAAGCAGCAGGTGAGAGGCTTGAGAGGGAGGTGAATAGAGGAAGACAGACAGACAGAGCAGGGGAGGAACGGAGGGCAGAGAAAGAGGCACTGGTGGTTGCTTCTGGGAATTCGAGAAGATGGGACTGAACTCCCCTTCTTCTTGATTTTCCCATGTCCAAGCTCAACTCGACTACTGTCACACCACCAGAAGCACTTTTCCTCCTGCCACTGCTTCTCTTGCCACTGCTGCGGCTGCTACGGCTGCTGCTGTTGCCACTGAATGCAGCTGCTTCAGTAGGCTTCGTTATGAGCTCAGACGGCTGGCAAAGGGTGAAGCAGTTAGCAAGGTAGAGGCGGGAGCCGCAGGGAGAGAAGGCCATGGCTTGGCGCTCGGGAAACACCTGCCAAAGGGTGGTGTGAAGGGGGAGGTGTGGGGGTGCAGGGTTGGGTTACTGGGACACTAAGAGAGAGAGATCAGAGGCAGGAGCCGCAGGGGAGAGAAGGCCATGGCTTGACGCTCGGGAAACACCTGCTGGAGTGATTTGAGGACAGGA